GGTTCTGTTTTATCACACTAGCGGCAATCGGAAATCCTACTATTTTGGAAAGTTTTCTGGGGACACTTGGTTCCTGACGTCGATGGCATCTGGAACTTTAGATGTCTACGATTAACCAACCAGTGCACCGATCAGCCAGGGCAGTTGATGCCCGGCATCAATCACTCTGGCTGATTCACAGCATCAAAGCGCGACATCATGGCAGTTGTGATCTTTATGTACCATCACAATCAATATGAGTGCGAACACCACTCCGCGTGGCCCGCGGTGCTATCAGTGCCCCCTGGCAATTGCTCTATGAAGCACATGTGCACCTTGTGGTCAAGACCTATCGTTTCTAGCAATCGCCGCACCACTCTGCACTTCCGGGTCGTCTGCTAACGAAAAACGGTCGGCGAAACTGTTCACCAATGACAAAGCACAATTTTTGCTAGCGACGTGCACCAGGAGAAATTACTTGTACAAATATTTTTACCGCCATCTTTTTTATTACGAAGTTTTAGTAGATTATTCTCATGACTGATAACAATACCCGATACTTCGCCGACGCCTTTAAGCATGCACCAAATTGTTATCGGAGGTATCAAAACAATCAAATAATACTGCCTATTATTTACTTCTTGTAAGTTTTGCAAGAGCAAAGGACCACCAATGTGCATAGGCAAGAAGTTAGCGCGGTACGAGAGTCTGTGATGCCCTTCATCATAGAAAACAGCGCGATAAAAACACAGTCGAAGGCTCGAGCACATGCATACTAAAAGCGCAAGTCACACATTCACTGCACTGGATTGGTTTAGCCGACGAATGAACATGTTTTATCACAATATGAGTGCGGACACCGCTCCACGTGGCCCGCAGTACTAGCAGTGCCCCCTGGCAGTTGCTCTTTGAAACATCAGTGCACCTTCGGCGACGTCCGGGGTGCCGCAGGGGTCTGTACTGGGTCCTCTTTTCCTTGTATATGTCAATGACTTACCCTCCTGTGTTTCATCTTCAATTAGTTTGTTTGCTGACGACTGTGCTATATATCATGAAGTGACTAGCAAATCCAATGTTTCTTCTCAGTGTGACCTTGACCGTGTATCTGAATGGTGCGACTTATGGCGTATGCAGCTTAACACTAAAGGCCCGTTCACACTCTTTGCGACCGAGTTAGACTGAGAGAGACCCGACCGGTTTTTAAGCCTCTTGCGACTTAGGACCAGCTCCGCTGCATTGCATCCGGTCTTAAGAAGTCGCAAAAGGCTTAAAAACCGGTCTGGTCTCTCTCGGTCGAAGTCGGTCGCAAGAGTGTGAACGGGCCTTTACAAATGTAAGGTAATGAGGGTTTCTCGGCTTCACAGTGATGTCTCTTATTACCTGAACCATACTCCTTTACAACAAGTAACAACCTACAAATATTTGGGAGTTCATATTTCATCCAATCTGTCCTGGGAAACTCTTATTCAATAAGTAACAAGTAAGGCCAATCGTATGCTGGGTTTCATAAAACAAAATTTTTCAGTAGCCCCCTTATCGCATACTTCTTTACAAAACGCTTGTTCGCACCAAACTAGAATATGCCTCTTCAATTTGGGACCCCGCTACAGACGTATTAACATCTGCAGTTGAAGCAATTCAAAATAGATCCGCCCGATTCATACTTGCTACTTATCACTGCACTGCCAGCGTAACATCCATGAAATCAAGTTTGAACCTGCCTAATCTTCCATCGCATAGAGAAGTTTTCTGTTTGTGCCCGTTCAAAAAATCTACTACCACAATCATACTTTGCGTGACAAGTTATTAGCATCTCCTTTTTTACGTATCACCACGTCTCGATCACCGACACAAGATGGGTGTACCTTCATGTAACACTACTACTTTTCACAATTCATTCATACCCCGAACCAGTGTTGTGGAACCACCTTCCAGCGTCTGTGGCATCAATATCTGACAGCGTTGTTTTCAGAAATTGCTTTAACAATGTTCACATTTCAGCTTTCACTAATATGCACATATTGTTTTGCATAGGTTGTTATTTATTGTATGTTGTTGAATTCTACTGATGTAACCCACTCTCCTCTGTAATGCCTTCGGGCCGTGTGGGGACTTTTAAACAAGTAAATGAATAATCCTATAATAAAATATATATTTTTTTTTTTTGCTTTGAGCTCATCACGGCACAGGTGTGGTGCAGTTGACTGCACTTTGGCGCAAGATGTAAGCAGACTCCCTCATAGCAGAGTTCGGCACAAATGGCTGAGCACTTCCATTACTGCAAATTTTTCGAAATAAAGGCCCTTTGGCAGAAACTACTATGCCAACCTTTGTTCTGTACAATGAGCACCTTAAAGGGAAGCTACGGAGCTTCTTGGAAAAAATGAGTTAGAAGTGAATTCTAGTGTATTTTTACCCCGTGAACCCGAATACCCAAACCATTTGCTGCGCAAGTATTGTTAAACGCGAAAGACAGTCGCTGTCCGTGACGTCATCGACGGCTCTTTTGGCTGCCCAAGGCTAGGGGGGCGGGGCTTCAGCCCTATTTTGAAATTGCTCTTGTGGCTCTCCGGCGCGTCGCATTGAAATATAATTTTGATATCTGTTATTCTAAAGGCCAAATGAACGCAATTCAAGTGTTTTTTCTCAAATGTAGAAGTGCCCCATCTTCCCTTTAAAGCAACTTTGCCAGCATTTCGTGAAACAACCTCTACCACGGAATGTATGCCAAAAAGCAGTCCCACACAGAAAAGCAAAAGTATGATTTTTTTGCAATAGACACTGATGTGCAAAGGCAACAATTCATTTCAGGCACAACTGATAGATACATGAAAGAAAAAAAAAAAGCTTTTTAAATTGTATTTAACTATGCTCTAACCCCTTGCCTACATATTTGTAGGAAACAAACATCAAATTTTTTATTTCTAACAGGCACAGTGATGTGATTGGCCTAAGCCATTTTGGAGTACCTTTTGGAGCAGCCAAAACAGTGTTTTGGAGCAGCGAAAGTGGCTTTTGGAGCAGATATTCTAAGCTAAAAATATTCGTTTTAAGTGGCGGACAAACGAAAGGCACTTCGTGCTGTGTTCTGACAGAACTCGCTGTTTGTGTTCTTACGGCTAAGACATCCCACAAGTGTATTGTAGGCGTTGCCGAGCAATTCCAAAAAGAACGCATGCTACCGTTTTACTGGTTCCCGACGTGCCAGATTTTCATCAAAAGTAAGCAAACATAAAACAATGGATTGCAAGCGTCCCGCTGGTGCCTCTGTCGTAGTATGCAAAATGCAACTGTCCAGCATGCGGCAAAAAAAAAATAATAAAACAGTCCAGCAGCGCGTGCTTGCCAGGCCGAAAGGCAAGACAAAGCTGAACACACAAAAAAAGAAAAAGAACCTGAGCGCATCGATGCAGGACATCGCGAGCCAGGGTCAAAAAGTTCTTGGAGCACTTTGTGCAACGACTGAACTCGAGACAAACAAGCGCGCTGTGCGGGTTCAGCGTGCAGACATTGCCTTCTTTGTTTTAGCTCACTTCTCTTCAGCAACTTTCTTTATCGGCATATTTTTCACGTACCGGGGTTCTCTCGAAAGAAAGCCTACCGAGAAAAACTTAGGTAATCAATATTTCGACAAGCAGTCATTGAGTTAAAGAGGGATTTTTGTATTAGAGTATGATTTAAACAAAGACAGGAATGTCGATGAATAAGTTTAGAAAGCGCCATATCTGCAGCGACGTGGGGACGGCAACACCCGATGTCGCGCGACCACAGTAATTGTGGTAGCGCGAGCGTTTCAGCTCACAAAGTAACTCTCGCCGCGCAAAAACGTGGTTTTGTTTTACAGCATGACGACATTGCTGGCACCCGGCACACTAGCGTCGGAGCGTCCGCACACGCCCGCGTCTATCGTTGAAAAAATTAGAAAAAAGACGCGAGACGAGATTCCCGAAACGACGAGAGCGCGAAACGCGAGACGGCGGGAAAAACTATACAACGGGGGACCGGATGGACGATTCACGCAGGGTATCTTTGTGTCAGGAGAAGCTTGCGCCACCTAGCTCACGCATGCCTAATAGACCGATCTCACCAAGCGTTCCACGCATGCGTGACGCCGCCATAACTGTAGTTCGTAGGAGGCAGACGCCAGTTCACGAGACAGCTCATGAGGCCTCGTGCTCTGCTCGTGCAGACCTCCAGCAGGGTTGTCGCGCGTGCAGAAAGACTACAGCTCCCACGATGCACGTCGGCAGCGGTGGCATACTCAAACTAGCTGGTGAGATCGGTCTATTGCGGTTTTCAGTTTAGTTTCGGTTTTGAAAGGCCACCGAAATCGGTCCTTTGGCGCAGGCTTGGCACAGATTACCCATATTTTGGCAAAATGTAGCAGGATGTAGCAGGGTTAGCCCATAGGCGCAGTTTGGCGCAATTGGCGCAGCAATCACATCACTGCAGGCAATTTGCATTAAAATAAGAAAACATCCAATTTTTAGGTGCGATTACCAATTTTTAGGTGCGATATCCAAATAACATCCAATTTTTAGGTGCGATATATAGGACCTCCGGTCCAAGTCCCACTGACGTGCAGACGCCGAAGTTGATTGAATGCTAGTAGGATTCTCACAGTTTTCATCACTCCTGTCACTGTCCATCAAAGTAGCATCCCTGCCTAATCATGAATGACTTTCATAAAGAATGATGTACCTCTTCCTGGGCTAAACGAACCTGCACGCCAAAGCCACATCGTTTTTGCGAGAACGCTTACCAGCAACAGGGGCGGTTTTTTTATCTGCAGGAGAGTGCGACAAACAAGCGCGAAGTCCACGCTCCGTAAGAGATGGTACAAGTGACACTCGTTAGTAGGCAAGGGATGAACTCTTAACTACTCTACTGTCCTAATACCGAATAAGAGGTGCCAGTTATGGGGGAACACCACTCTACAAAGAAAATACTGAAACAAACACTTAAGTTTATGAAGACTGAAAGGACTGAACGCTACGCTGAAGAGGAAGCAAACCACTCACTGCGCCATTGCGGGGTCGGGCACCTCCTCTGCCTCCTCCGCGCTGGCCACTGCTGCCACCAGCACTGCCACCGCGCTGTCCGCCTCCTCGCTGCCCACCGCCGCGTTGTCCGCTCCGCCAGAAACCCCCGGAACCGCGCCCGCGCCACGCATTGCGCCGCATCCAATTGTTCGCCGAGATGCCGAAGGTCTCGTGGTTCAGCTTGCGCTCTTGCCGCCAGTCTATCCTCTGCATCCTACAACCAAAGACCCAACCACCCAGCCTGGTGACAAATTGAAACTAATCTGAGCATTTTAAGGGCAACAAGGAATGTGTTTAATGGTGAATTCCACTCGTAGATCTGGAGCGCTTTCCAAAATCCGCGAGGGAGGCAAAATTCCGCTCCGTGGGACCCGCTCCGTATCGACGAGGGGAAGATAAACTTGCATTTTTGGAGCGACCTCCCCCACACCCCTGCCCACCCCTTCTCCTTCCGCCGTTCAAAATGGCCGCTGCTCGAACTTGACCAGCCCACCAACGCCTCAGCCGGCTGATCTTTCCGACGACCAGTGACGACTGTCACTGCTTAGCTGCAGAAGTAACACGCGACACAGGCCGGGCGGAATTATACGTACCACGGCGCCCATGTCACAAATAGCGAAGACGTCCGCGTTCGGCACCGTCACATACCTTTCGGCCGCCTCGAAGCGGCGGGGCACGGACAGAGATTGCCAGCGGTGGAGTTCAGATTGCTAGTTCGACTTTAATAAACAAAGAGGTAACAAACCATCACTTGCGCGGTCGTTGCCTAACCACTTCTTGCTTTATTTCACGGGAAAACGCCGATGGAATGCAGTGTAAAAAGGTAAACAATCACTGGCTGCAGAATGAATAGGCCTAACCTTGAGTCTGCCTCCGGCTTTTCTGTTGTTCTTTTTTTCGTTCTTCCTCGGTGATCACAAATGTCAGCGCTTACGATTTGCCACGCTCCACATTCCCGGCTTTTTATCACTGATTAACGCGAGGTAGAAGCGTTCAAGCCGTCACAGTCCAGAGTAAACAACCGACGCACCCAACAGATCCAACTCCACGACCCGACGACCCGACCGTGGCCCGACCGGCCCGCCGATCTCTCCAACCTCGCCGCGCATGCGCTCCGCCGATTTAGACGGAAATCACGTGGGCCGCTCTGTCAATTTCCGGAGAGATCTGTAAAATCCCGCAGAGCAAGTTCGGCGGAGTTTGGGGCGCTCCGTGGGGCGGGCGCTGCCAGAGATCTACGAGCGGAAGATGACCAACTTGAGCCAGATCTGCGAGTGGAATATGCGCGCTCCAAATGGAGCGCTTTTGGAGCGCTCGAGATCTGCGAGCGGAATTCACCATAAGTAAAGGAATGACAAGAGATTCAGACCTCCAGGAGGTCCACATGTTAACGAAACTCTTGCACAATGCTCATTTTCCCACGATTTGAACCTGCCAACCGAAGATCCACAAGCTGCCACGGTGGGTAGAGTCACGGACGATCTAAAAAAGTCCAGGCGAGCGAGAGGAAGACCTCTAGCGCTATCAACAGAAGAAAACAGAGTTACGGAGGATATTGTGTGAACAAGCTGCATTTCAGCAGCAGCAGTTTCAATTCAGTACCCCTTTAGATTATGGCCATGTTAACACAAAAAGTTTAGAAATTATGAAACCACCTGAAACCGAACCTTGGGTGCTTTGTGCCACACTATCTCCAGGTAACAAATGCAACCGCCTCAGACAAATTTCATGCTGCCAATTTTGATGTTATTAAAGGGGCACTGACACCCCAAAAGTCGTATTTTTCTCGTCTGAAACGATGCAAGTTGTAGTCTCACAAACAACTATGCAAAAAACATTTCCTACACGAGCGAGTTTTACAGCGAAGCTGTTAAGGGCTAGGTTTCCCAGGATCGTGTCTGGTATGTCGACACAAACCTACCTGGACAGCTACCGCCATCAATAAGCGACGGTGGCAAGCACACAACCAGTATGGTTTCCACCGTCGGTTGTAGATGGCGGTAGCTGCCCAGGTATAATAGAAGAATGGATAGTTGGGTGCGTTAGTGGGAATTCATCGTAGGAAACGGCGCGAAAAATAGACGACGACGAAGAATCACACAGTGTATCGAGTGCAGCTTCTCTGGCCTTCTTCACGAGAGTGGAAAAGCTGAACATTTTTTTTCTGCTCTTCTCTTCCCACCTCCTCATTTGACGTAACCGATAATGAAATTGAGAAGCTTTGTAAGCAACTTCTTTTATTTAATAATGGCCTTCGTAAAACGTCAAAGGAAATTCTGAACGCACTACTTTTTGAAGACTTTTGAAATATAGAAAATCAGAGTTCGGAAGTGATGCGCACCTCCCGACTTTTTAGCCTTCCTCTTAAACCATGGCGGCGCTCGGTGCCTATAGCTGCCTGTAGCAGTGAAGATCGGGGAGTCTGGGACTCTTGACGAAATTCTTGTTTTGCTTCGCGTGATGTGACCTGCTGCAGCAACTTCGCTGGAACGACGCGGCTCGACCGAGGTACCACTTGAACCCGAAACTCTCTAGAGACGCTCAGAAGACTGCCCTCATAATCCTCGTCGACAAAGTGTAGAGAACTAATAAAGGATTTGAGCCAAAACCCTCCAGCAGACCTTCGGGAGTTGCAGCTAGCCGGGCCACCTTTTCCGACATGTGCAGTACACTTGGTGGCAACTCCGCCGGGGCAGCCTTTGACACAAAACCGGTGCGACATGGCCCCCCCACACATCACTCAAGATTCTACAGCGCATCCTCAACCTCAGTTTCACGGAATTTGAGATCGCTAAAAGGGCCACAAAAGAACTTAAAATTCGAAAGGTAAAGAAACAAATGCTCACCCCTTGCTTCTTTCAATGGCCTCGCAACTGATGTTGTCAAAGAAAGATTTGGTCTTGTCATAGTAGACCACATCGTCATCATCATGGTTGTCTCCCACTTGAGTTTCGGTCCCAGAATCATCTTTTTTCTCATCAGCTGGAAAAAAAAAAAAAAAAAACTTCAGATGAAACACTTGGAGCACTAGAAAGAGTTGGGAAGTGTCACAATAAAACAATTTGAAGCTCATTAAAAAGCTGTTATGCAAATCCGGCTTGCAGTCTCAAAACAGCTGCCACTAATGAAAGAAATTCTCCGAAGACAGCTGCTTATAAATGAATAAATTAGAGGAAGGAAACCCTAATACACCAATTTGTCTAGCCCATTAAAATAATCTAACGCTTCACTCCTTCTGCATAAAATGTGTCAAAATAAGCTTATAATAAAGCTAGGCAGAAAGATTCACACACCACTTAGGCCACACCCATAAAAAGTAGTCCCTCAAGTTTTATGAACCAGCCAATACCTCTAACATCAAAACCTACAAAAACAACTTCCTCAGCGGCGCTGGAACTAGAGTTAAATCAAAGTTCACTGCTCATCATTCGACAGCTGCAGAAGAACTACCACATTTACTCAAAAATAGAAACTGGTTTTTTTCCGGCCGTTTTTTTTTTTTTTTTTAATTAGAGAATAATTTGCAATGAAGACAAAGAAGGTCAATCTGTAATATTCCCGAGAATGAATTTCGTGCCTATTGCGCTAACCCTCCAACAGGTCAGTCGCTGCTCCTAGCACTCCAGTGCAAAACTGGTGAAGCCCGACATATGCAGGCTCATTGTGTGGCGAGATGTAGTGAAGGTTGACAGGAGCGGCGCAAGTGCCGCGGTACTCTGCAGTCACGGCACGAAGGCATGCGACAGACATGATAATCGAGTGGTGAGCACAAGATCCTGGTCACGTCCTGCCTTAGTATACCACCATCCAATTATTTTGCAAAGTTTTCTCGAAACTTAGTTCTTGACCTAGCAGACATCGTCTGATAATTTAGACAATGTCGACGATCAACTGGCCAGCGCATCAACCGGCCAAAGCGATTGACGTACAATCCCTATACTTCGTCTCACCTGAAGTCGACACTACAGCCGACTCTACGAGCCAATGGGACCAATTAAACAGCATAAAAAGGCAACATCACAGAATTCATCCCCCTGTGCACGTTTTTTCATCGGCTAAACCAATCGGGAGCAGTGAATGCCCCGTGACTTGCGCTTTTAGTATGTGTTCGAGGTTGTATGCGTTCGAGCTTTCAATTGTGCACAGACTTGAGATGAAACAAATTATATGGAGGGTAAAGACGCCATGAAATATATTCGTACCTTTTTTTCCTTCCAATTTTCTAAGTAATAGGGCCAACCAATAATAAATTATTTTTATATTTTGCTTTAAGTCCATCCTGGCGCAGTTATGGCACAATTTTGAGCGAAAATGACGCTTTGGCTTGAGATGTAGCAGACTTTCATACATGGCGCAATTTGGCGTAGCACTTCCATCACTGCAAATAACACTCATTGCATCTTTAGCAAAAACAAGCTAACCAGGAAACGTGACAGTGCACCCAGTATCTGGCATATTTGCCGAGCTATTAGTGACAGCAAGACAAACACTCTTGCTCGGTACAAATAAAGACGAAGTGCACAACCACCAAAAAGCCAATGGCAAAATGTCTGCACACATCCGCGTCTATCGCTGAAAATACAAAAAAAAGACGAGACCAGACCCACAAAAGAGCGCGAAACGCAAGACGCCGGGAAAGCCATGCAAGACCGGGCGGACAATTGATGCAGAGTACTTTGCGTCAGGTGGCCGCTTGCACCACATAACACACACCTGCTCAATCCCAGTACTCAGTTTAGTTTCGGTTTTGAAAGGCGACCTAAATTGGTCCTTTGGCACAGGCTTGGCGCAGATTACCCATATTTTGGCGAAATGTAGCAGGATGTAGCAGGGTTAGCCGCTTGGCTCAGTTTGACGCAATTGGCGCAGCAATTACATCCCTGTTATGAGGATATTGCATACTAATTCTCACGTGCCTTTCTACCATCTCAATGTCCCCTTGGCCAGTTTCTTAAAAATATTTGGGCGTTATCATTACTTGTAACCTCTCCTGGAAACTGCATGTTGAACAAGTCATCAATAACGCTAACCGCATGCTACGTTACCTGAAAAGGTACTTTACTCTCGCATTGTCAGCCTTAAAATTAACACTATAAAACTCATTCGCTCCAAATTACAGTATGCTTCTCTCTGGGACCCCAGTCAGTATAATCTAAGTAATGTTCAGGAAGCGGCCCAAAACCATTCTGCCCGCTTTATTCTACGTAACATCACCACACTGCAAGTGTAAGCTCCATGAAAATGGCCTTGTCCCTGCCTAACCTCTCTCCGACACAGAGTTGCTCGTTCATGTCTTTCAGAAGATCTATCATGCCAACCCATACTTAAAGCTAAGTCATTTCATCCCACCGTTCTACATTTCACCTCTCATCAATCATCACATCAAAGTTAGAATTTGTAAATATAATACCAACACCCATTTCTAGTCAATCCCTCGCAGACCTGCATTTATATTCTTGATACCCAAATGTCTAAAACTGCTATGAACACTCCTCCCCTTTTGTTTCTTTATACGTGTTATTTTGTTACTCCCACACCCCTCCCTAATGTTGATTGGCCCTGAGGGTATTTAGATAGATAAACTACTCTCCTGAGGACCTGAACTGCACATTGAAATTTGAAGTGTGCAAAACACTCCACACAACATTTTTTTTTTTTCCACAGAATTAACTTCTATAGCAGGAGCATCGCCCAGTTGGCATTTGGAATATCCATTAAAGCGTAGGCAGCACTTTGCACCGAACCAAGCAAAAATCGCCCAAATACGCCAATGAAAGCTGGAAGTCGCGTGGCGAAAGCAAAAGCAGTGCAACCCCTTACTCACTGACAATGGGAAACAAACACCTAGAAAGTCAACCAAAAAGATACCCACACTCACCAATCTTAGTCTGTGCCAGCTTGCTCTCCAGCTCCTGAAACTCTGCATTGGCCTGCTCGAAGTCATACTCCCGGTCAAACTTGAGCGGCTCCTTGGGCTTGGTGTTGCGGTAGTTGGTCTGGCGTGGGCGACCCCCGGAAGACACCCCGCTGCCACTGGTCCCACTGCTGCCAGGACCTCCTCGGCGCCCAACAGTCCTTTGCTGGTTCCCGGGACCCTGGTTCAGGTGCTGATTCTGTGGGTGCTGCTGCTGATTCTGCTGATGCTGCTGTTGATTCTGCTGATGTTGGTTCTGCTGATGCTGGTTTTGTTGGTGCTGCTGATTCTGCTGCTGTGGTGGATTCTGCTGGTGTGGCTGATTCTGCTGGTGCTGCTGATTTTGTTGGTGCGACTGATTCTGCTGGTGCTGCTGATTTTGCTGGTGTGGCTGGTTCTGCTGCTGATTCTGTGGATGTTGCTGGTACTGCTGGTGGTGTTGCTGCAGATGTGGCTGTTGCTGCAAATGTGGCTGGAGATGTGGCTGTTGCCTGCGGGGGCCCATGCCCTGTTGGGCCTGGCCCCTCTGTGCCTGACGCCTTTCCGAAGGCGGTGCCGACACCTGAACCCCCGCATCAATCGTCGGGCTCTTGCGCTGTGCTGGAGTTGTGTTGCCTGACTGCGACCCTGGGGGTACGGCGGCACTCAATTCCGCTGCACGCTCAACTGAGCCTGAAAACCGCAAAACAGGGAATCGCTACCGATGAGAGGCCTGTGATATGTACAAACATTCCTCCAGCAACCGCTAGCTCAAAAACATAGGGTAGAAGTGCTCACGTTCGAAGCCACACAAACCCAAACTGAGTATTGGCCAATGAGGTATAGCAATCCATTCACAACACAAGCATGGTACATATAACATTGAACATTACGAATTATAATACAATAAAAGCAAATAACAGGAACAGGTTGACATAAGAGAAACAGTTTATTCAATTGAACGTTTTTCCTCCCATGCTGAAGGCATCGTCAATGAAGCTAAGAGCAATGGGAGTAGCACATGGACTAGTACCCACCTGCGGCTTTTAAAGGGACATTGACACCCCCCCCCCCCCCCATATTAATTTTTTTTATTTTTTGCCAAACAATTCGTCATAGTGTCAGACGACTACCCAATCAATATTTTGCTACAGCGTCGCATATATCTTTAATAAAGGAGAAATATGCAACTGCTCAAAACCGGACTGGGGAGTAGGAAGAAAGAGGAGGAGAAAGGTGGCAGAAGTCACTTGGCTGCGATACTTTTTCTCCCTCTAAATAACACATTTGCAGCTTTTTAGCAGCCAGAAAGAATGGGTATTATATTTCTTTTCTATTTTTAAAATTGTGTGCATGCCTTCAATGACCTACAACTTTGACTACTTTGGTGGTTGTGTCTAAACCTTAGAAAACTGCCCGTGACCGCAGAGAAGAGTGAGCACGACTCAAACCGGCAAGTTCCCGATCAGCTGTTTTCGGGCAGATGGAAACTGAATTTTGAGCCTCAAATTCTATTCTGGGTAGTTGGGCACTCATATCGCGTACAACTAAACACCTCGGCGAGCACAAACACCCTGTCAGTGTCCCTTTAAGAGTGTCACCATGGTCAGGAAGAGGAAGTGGAGACTCGGGAAGTTACTTGAATTCTGGTTTATTCAGAACGACTGTTGTGCTCTACCATACTTTACACAAACTTTATGACAAAATATGTGAAGAGTAAAATGGATCACTGGCCTTTTGACCACATAAATCTTTACGTATTGAGCCAAGGTTTTCTACAGAGGTGGCCAAAGATTGTGCATATTTTGTATCAAAATTTCAAAGAATGAGCTTGCCAAAGTCAATAAGTAACGAATTAAAGAGCAAATTCACTACCTACAATGTCCGTCTGCTAATGAAAAGTGTCCAATTGGCGCAACAGCAGAAAAATGGCGGCAGCTGTTGACATAGCCGAAATAGCCTGACAAAGGTTAATCATGCACTACAACGAAAACGTCAGTGCAGCACGAGTCAGAAACCTACTAGTCTACTAATGGAGGTCAGAGTTTGCTCTCTCTCCTTACCCCCCTCTACTTGTTGGCTGTGGCACCAATTAGATGACCTCTTGGTAGCAGACAGATGCCACAGGTAGCAAAATTGTGTTCTTGTTTTCTGCTTTTACTCAGGAAAGTGCATTCTCTTCAAAAAGCCAACAATCAATTGATTCAAAATTTTTAACTTCCGCATGCTACTCCCATTGCTCCTTGCTTTACTAAAGTTGCCTCCCACATGGGAGGCAAAACATTTAATCAAACTTTCACCAGTTATATCAAACAGTTTTATTACGTCTCCACCCAGCCTCTGGAGCATTTTCAAATTACCATATTCAACAGTTTTGTAACAGTTCAGAAAACCGTACAATGTCTCCAAATTACCAGGGATGCTAAAAAGAACTTTCAACAAATGTGGAATCCACAACATTAGGGCACTGTGGAGAACTCACAATGCAGTGCACATGCTTTACGAACCAGAAGGGTAGTTGCTCATAACATCCAATCTCAGTCAAAAACACAAGCTTATTGGTGGCAGACTGTCATTAAGACATCTTGCCAGGCCCATTTTGATACTATCGCAGACGATAAAACCTACAACAGCCCTCCTTACTTCTTGGCGTGCTCGCCAGCTATTTTGCAGAAGCTCTTGTCTCCACTAGGACTGGAACAAAAGGCCAGACCAAGTTGCAGCCCATACTGTCCCGAAGGGATACATTCAAGCTGCAACGCTGACACTCCTGAAACATTTTAAGGGGGGACACTGGCTAGAGATTTAACTTCTGAACTACTCAAGTGATCAGAATGACATTTGCAGGGGGGATTTAACATCAGATATATCTGCATTGTGCAAGATTTCAGCTCTCTAGGACAATTTGACATACCTGCATAAGAAGATTTGTCACTCTTCGTTGAGAAATGTATTAAATGCAAATAAAGTGATGAAGCATAATTTTGACTGCTTGAATATAAAGTGGGAGATGTGGGACTTCGGGCTGTCTAGTTTTTGTAATTCAAATGTAAATATTTCAGGAAGAATTATAACTTCAAAATAGGAGATGCCTATCTGTTCTATGTCAATTTTTGAAGACAGTTTTTTCTCAATGACACACTTAAAACAAAATAAATGAAATGGACAGATTTCCCAGTAAATTTCAGTTAAACATTTTGATTGTGATATCAGAATAGTTTTACTTTCAAACAAAAGATTCCTTCGTTTGAAATTCGCAGCAAAAAGTGGAACTGAAAAAAAAAAAAAAAAAAAAAAATGCATTTCAACCTTTAACTCCCTTACTTTGATACTGCCTTGCAATGTGTTGAAAATATTTTTTTTATCAACCCAACTATTTGGCGTATAGTTATCAAATTTAGTGCAAGGGAATATAGACCGACACGCTGTTTACAAACAAGCCCGCATTTGCCCACACCAGGTGTGAGCACTGCGCAAGCGCAGAAACCAGATTCGCATGAGGTGAAACTTCTGCGAATGCGCCGTGGTGACAACAGCGCCACCGCAGGAGCGTGACGTCAGAGCCGCGTGTTGGTCCATAATTTGTTTCAATAACTGAAAACCTCAAACTTAAAAAATTAAGTTTTTCATAAAAATTTAAAATTTAGGCCCCGTGTCTCTCCCCTTAAGGGAAGTGTTAAAAGACAACAAATGCATATTCAGTCCTTACCAGACTGCTGCGATGCGGCGATGCCCTGAGGGAGCTGCTGCGACTGCTGCTGTTGAGGCTGAGGGGTGTACTGAGATGCCACGGAATATGATGGCAGTGTCCCGACGGCACCATATGACGGTGCTGGCTGGCTGTACCCCGGAGCTGGAAAACCACTCTGCCCACCGGCCACAGGTGCAGCAGAGTGCTGCAGAGAATGCTGAAGGTGTACACCTTTCCAAGCAAAAGCAACCCCCCCTCCCCCTTTTCACATTGCAGTACCCCCTAGTTACGCCTTCCGGTAGGTTGGAATTCATCAGCCGTTAATTTCCCGACCCAGTGCGTAGTAGTTGCACATAGATTTAGTTTGTTTCTCTCTTCTCATCAGTAGCGCCGACTTCCACTACCTCCGCCAGACAGAAAGCTCCACTGGACTGAAAATTCTCGTCAAGCAGATGCTATGGAACGCAGTACTGTGGGAACATCCAATGGCTCTCTCTGGGCTACTTGAGGTGGAATGAAATCTCAGAAACTAACCACAGGCTACACCAATATAGATTGTCCTTAATGCACAATGAGCAAAGCCTTCAGAATGACAAACAGGGCCTCACAAAGGCAGAGTGTATCTGATTAAAAACACGCAGCACTCTGAATTTACACACACACACAAAAAAAAAAAAAAAAAAAAAAAAGCAAAAGGGTTATTTCAACCAACCAACACTAGCCCAAAATCTCACCAGACATAGGAAAGTACAGAGCGGTCACTTTTAAAGGGAACACGAGAACGCGCGGCCGGCGCTCTGCACTGTGCCCGTGGAAGCTTGGCACAGATGCCGCAAGCACCAGAGGTGGTGCATGCCACCCGTCATCTGCTACTGCATGCCACGGCGCAGTGAGCAAAAGTGCAGTAGCGGACGACGCACTGCACACACCACCTCTGGTGCTCGCTGCACCTTCGCCAAGTTTCTACGGGCACCAGCAGCCGGCGCAGCACCGGCCGCAAGTTCCAGTGTTCCCTTTAGAAGTGGGCCACTCTGTACATGTGCAGCAGTAAAAATATACTACTTTGGAGTAGAAAAGCACAAAGTATAGCATCATTGTCAAAAGCCAGAAAAAAGGCTGCCTGCACAAATTTTTTAGAAAATCCAAGTAAAAGATTGCCCACAGTGAAGCCCAGTGATCAACTTTGCTTCACAGCAGAATGTGAAATCAATTGCAAACTTCCAAAAAGTCTACTTTCAAATAAAACGCCAGAAATAAAAGAGGCTCCGAGCTCCCATCAGTTAACAGGCTACCTCAATTCAGGGACCTTTACTCCACATGATAAAATGAACGACACAAGTGTCCATACACAAAATTTCTGGCACTTGACAGTCCCGAGACAAGGACAAAATAGTACACTAAAAAGAACACATCTTACATGTACAATGGCAGGATCATTAGTCAGACCCCCAGGCAAAGTTTGCTGTGGCTTGGGAGGCTCAGACACCCGAAGGTCTTTGATGTCGTGAGCTCTGAAGATGATGTACTCGTACACTTCATCTCTCGGGGCAACAGGACGATCCGTAGGGCGATCTTCAGTGCCAAAGGACCTCACTGCAAGGAAGATTTTGCAACATAAGTTGTTCACTACAACTAGAGCTGTAAGAATAGGGTGCACTGCATCAAAAATTGCACAGCTTTACTCGTCCTGGACAGTCTTTTCTAGACAACCAAACTGGTGACCGGGAACCCTGACAAAATCAGCTAATTATTTTGACAGCAATACATTGTTCTAGACAGTGCTGAAAAGCACTTTAAGTACATTGTACTTGAAGTATTACTTTAAGTAGGTTTAGAAAATTTGTACTTTACTTGAAGTACATTATCTGGATATATACTTCGATAGATTTTTTTTTGTACTTTCCAAGTACAAATTCAGACTTGAAATTTGATCTTGTTCAATTTTATCACAAAATGATGCTTTGTCAACTCTAAAGCAACACTGGTGGCTGTAATACCGATACAAATAACTGCCTTATAAGTTGATTGTTTTAAATAGTTTGTCAGTGAGGGCAGAAATACTCTGTAGCCACCCGACTTTATCCAATATTGGTCGCCATTTCTGAAAACATGACAATTTTCTTATGGAAGAAGTCTCTGCACTCTGCCCTTAAAAGGACAAGTGAGGCTAAAAAAACAAGTCGCTAAATTTCTTAAGCACCAAGGAGCATGCTGACAGTGTAGTTACACGTGCTGATGTCTGCAGCGTCGCCCGGTCGGTGACAGGGGCAGATGTGTATGGGTGCAATACCTCCCTTTTCACCCGCACACCGAGCAGGCACTACATATTAAGTGCAATACATGGCCTACAAGTGACACCATTCGAAGAGCACTCCAATGACCACCAGAGAAAAGGGGAAGGAGCTCCACTCTTATCAGGATCCTTTTTTGAGCATTCCGGATTTGCAGAAGTCATTATTCTTCCAGAAGATTAACCAGTCACTCAAAATTCTTACAAAAACAGCTCCCCTCTCCTCTTACATGGTGGTCAAAAGTATACGATGTGATGTCAGTGCAAGCCATGTATAAACTACTATCACTATCTACTCTAAAGCGAAAATCTAAAACCAGTAGCAATGTTTCAGCAACATTTATAATTATTTGTTTCAAACTTTTACACGGTTATGTCGAGCACGTGCAGCGCACATATTTACGTTCATAGCATTCTTTATGGTGCTTGGGTAATTTGGAAGGTTTATGGTACAGAGCAACCCTCCACCGAACACCTTACACTACAACGCATACCAGCTTAACTCAAGACTGGCTGTAGGATAGTCTGTCCACAATTTTCCAGCTCTACATTGTCAACAGCTTTATCCATCTCAAACGGGCTGTCCATTGCGAGATGTGCAGGCCATTTATCTCGTAGATAAACGACGCAGAAATTTTACGCAAAAGTGGTCAATGCCCTCACAAATTGCATTGTTCCGGGCTTCCATTACTCAATACACGACGAAAAACAAGCTACATTCGCACGCGTACTGAATGAGGCAGCAGTGGAACGACACGGACGAATATACAGCCACCCCCACTACTGAGCCAAGTGTCATAGCAAAGACGTCAGTGGTTTATTGACAACCAGAGAAATAAGCTGTCAACTCACTCACTGGAACCCGTGGAAGAAGAGTACGTTCCACCCGAACGGTGGGGGCATTATTAGCGGGAACTTAATTCGTTCAACCGAAAAAAAATCTGTCTTTACAAACAAACCGAAGCCTTCGCTAAGCCTCGGCCATACGCAGGTTAGGTTTTTATACGCAGTAAAAGCCGAACAGAAATAAAAGTAGAGCAATTAAGAAGCCACCATTACCTGTAGAACAAATTGAAAAGTTATTTCACGCTTATGACAGTCGGTACGCGACAGCTCATAACGATTCGGGAAAAGTGCATAGGCCTAAGAATGACAACGCAGGAAATGAGACTTAATCAGTAAATCTTCATTTTTGACGAAGTCCGAACATATTCCTGCCAGCAAACGCAGTTAACGTTGCACCAAACTTCAATTAGGAAACAATTGGTAAGTCATCCATGCCGTTCCTCGGCAGCTGCGCTTGTTTTGTTTATTTTTTGCATGTCTGTTTGCTTGCCCACCGCCTGTACTTGATGCACGTGACAACACAACATTCCAAATTGACTAACAGAAACGCCATACCTGATACCACCGAGACTAAACGAACAATAATTTCAACTTGTATTTAGAAAGGTTTCGTACTGACCTTTGGCCAAAGCAACGGTCGACTCTCTCGTATCGATGGTGTACAAAATGCCTTCATAACGAATTTCTGACTTCGATATTAGGCTTATTTTGCTCCCCAAGTACGGAATTCCTGTGCTCATCGTTGAACCTCGCACAAATACTGTGCCGCCAGTACGATCACAACGGATTACCTCGACCGAGTAAATGCTTCCAGACCATAAGCTGAGGCAATGGACAGCTCAAGCAATGGCGGCCCCGAACCCGTTTTTACGCAACCGGCTGGGAGGCGCCACCATCGAAAGCAATATGAGCAATATGCAAATCAGCGCTGGCCTAATACCTACACTAAGAATTCACATTTTTTCTTTAAATTTTAAGTGAATGCATTTATTAAACTATTATAGCCTTAATTAATATAATATTAAAGATATAGTTTATGCACATGCTATAAACATCGCTATATTTCTATGTCTCGTTCAAATATGTTTTAGATAAGTGGTTTGTTTCACATTAGAGTATAAGTGCTTCCCTACCCAGAATTCCCGTCGGCGGGGACACGCATGCGTACTTTATTTTTCAGTTGTAACTCGAAAATGGCGTCAGCCAAGTCTCTCGAGGAAATGCTAACTACAGATGTGGACGAGTCAGTAGTAAGCGAACTGGTAGGCTCTTTGGAGTCGCAGCTTTCATCATCGGGGATTCACACTCCAAACCAAGAGCTCAATGTAAGCTCGGCGTCTACTAATCACGTCAACAGTGTACCAGTTTCAGATGGTCTCCAGCGCCTGCAACACGACGGACAAAAACACGCTGTGGCCGCAGCGCTGGCAAATTCATGCCCGAGCATCGTGGTGTCCAATTTGGGCAAGACTATCGCCACCACTTCGCACATCGTCGGAGTGAGCAGTTGCGCATCGTCGGCAGCTAGTTCGACGAACACAGTGATGGTCACCCTGCCTGGCGCTCTCCCAGCCAGCGGCTACATCAATCAAGTAACTGGCACGGCACAGCAGGCCCTGCTCAACACATCGCTCGTGAGGCCCATCAACAACTCGGACATCAAGATCGTGTACTCGCCGCAGGGACACTTCAACGCGGCCAACCTGGCGGCCGTCAACAACGCTGTTCTTCAGCAGCGGGGCAACGTCAAGATCCAGGGGGTCCCCAACGGAAGCACGACCATCCGCTCCGCCCCGCATACTCCGGCCACGACTCCGGGCCTCAGTGCCATCCACAACCTGGCCAACGTGGCTGCGCAGCAGGCACCTTTGATAATCAGCCAGCCAGCCAAGCCGCGGCTCGTGCTCGATCCCAAGGACCCCAAGGGGGGCTTCAAGCCGCAGATCTTGATCAAGCAGGAGTCCCCCCAGCCGACCACGGTGGCAGCGCAGGAGTTCCTGCGCTGCTCGTCGCCGGGCGTCATCCAAACGTCCAAACCCGGCTCGCAGCCCGTCAACGTGGTCACCCAGGTGATGTCGAGCCCGAGCATCCTGCCTCCCGGGGTGCAAATCGTCAACGTGAATCCGGCTAGGCCGGGGAGCGCCGGCCTCGCCGGGCAGAAGACCTTGGCCCCCCGTGTGATCATCGGCAGTCCCATGCGGCTCGCGCCCCAGATGCTGGCCACCAGGCCCGGGGCGCCCTCCGTGCAGGTAATCACCCGCTCAAGCTCGTCCCGCGCTCGCGACGCCGCGCGCCGCCTCGGCACGCAGTGGGCCGTACCGCGGCCGTGCTACGCTGCTCTGCTAGTTCTGCCAGTTCCGCGATCACTCGCGCCAAAGCGCGGGCTCGTGCGGTCGGGCGCCCTGCGGCCGCGCGTTGCCCCTGCTTCGCGAGTGCTATCGGTGTTCGCTCAGGGCTTTCTTGCTTCGCTGCGGTCAGGGAGGCTCGTGGGGAACGCCGAGGGGCTTACCAAAGAGCTGTCTGCGTAACGATTGCGTGCGTGGGCGAGCGCGGTCGGAATCAAGAGTGAAGCGATCGATAGGACCCTCAAGTTTCCTCGCAATTGGCCGAGTTAATGCCTTGAATTTGGGTATATCGGAGAAATGGGGGAGTTTGTGGGACCCTGCGTTTTACACATCCGGGGGGAGTCTGCAAACTTTGGCTTCCCAAGCGGGAGTTCTCAGGTTTGTTGCCTCCAATGTTTTTGTCATGATGATGCTGGCGGGAGTTTCATTTGATGGTTCTACTCTGTCGTACCGGCACAGTTTTATTAGTATTATTTTGTGGCTTGATGTGAATGCTTTCAAAGCTTGGTGCTCATTCATTTATTGGTCTGTAATATAGGTCACAACGTTTTTATTTCTCATCGTGAGCTGTGAGAATGAGGAGGAACTAGTTAATGTGATCGGGTGTAGCACGATTGCCCCATGTGCAGAATTCCTCTCACAAAAGCCTTGCATCATTAGCCCCACGTTTCGAAAACCTAGCCTTTAATTACCCTGTGCCTGCCGAAAGCCCCGTCTCCACTGCCCCCGACCCACCTCCTCTTCGCACTTCGACCAGCATTGTTCTATGTCCTAACCTAATCCGTTGAAGGTATACAAAGGGTCTTTTAAGTGAAAGAAACAACAAAATAAGGTTAACTTGAACTGCAGAAAAACTTAGAATGACATACAAGTGGCCAATTGCATAAATCTGCATGACCAGCGATGCACTCCGCTGTCACAGAGGTATACTCAGGCGTAGGATTATAGACTTTATCTACCTAGATGGATACAAATATTTTTAGAACGACATAAGAAGAATGGAACTGCTGTTTGATGCTGTACGTAACAAGTATGGCGCCATGAGCTGCGGGTTAACGTTTTAACAGAACCCACTTCGTTGGAACTGTGAATCTGCACGTGCTTCTGAGTCGACGAAAGCTTTGGTTCAATGCTTATTCATAAGAACTGTAACTTAAATGTTTTGTCAGTGGCTGATATTTTCTATTTGTCCTCACTTCTAACATCGCAAGACGTGAAGGAAGCTTTATCCAGTTATTTCTAACTTGAATCTCGGGTACGACATGATTACGTTACACAAGCTTGCGTGCACACTTGCTGTCTCTCAGGTAAAAGCAGAATCATCCACCCTCATGCCGAAGACATAGCCACCTGACGCGGGGGATTCGCGATGGGCTTCTGAAACTAGGGCGTAAAGGGTGGGCGTTTGCCGCGGGGCATTTGACACTGGACTTTTGACATTGGGTGCTTTCGTGCACCACTTCTTTGATCGTGAAGCCCAATATTAGGGAATACAATATTTACATTCACCCACATTGTCTAGACTCTAGAAAGATTCTCTTCCAAATCTTTTTTGTGCAATCATATTGTGGTCACATTTCTGATTGTTTACATTATCTACTGCCAATAACCTGCAGGCAAAAGCCCTACAGTGCAGTCTATTTGCAGTCTCGGGCTCATTCATGCTAATTTTTATAAAGTCCATGGTGTTTTAATTCCACTCATTTTGTGATTATTTTGCCATGCCTTTCAGAATTCCCTTTGCCAAATGCAAGCACATACTGCCTCCCTTGCAGAATCTTTCATACTTAGAGTATTATTGCACAGCATCTGTCAAAGAAATCATTCAGGCGGTCTTCACAGAATACTGAAACTTCACGGGAAGATAGCCCTAGTGGTGATGGCTTGTTGTGAGAGTTCCAGCCTAATATGTTATAACTGGTTTAAAAGTTTTTTTATTTTTTAGAATTTAAATGAAAGGTTGACATTTTCTTTGTAAGGCAGTTACTTTCCATTGCGTTGTGGATCTTGTTCTCCACACCACCTGGTGTTTAGACGATGCCAAGCCTATGTGCTGAGTTGTTTACATCATTTATCTGTATCAAGCCTGGCAGATTGTACACAGTGCTGTGTCAGCGTTTGCAGCCAAATGCCTGGCTAGAAACATACCAGCAATTTATGTCTGTTGTCACCGCAGCTGATGTGAATTGCTGGGGATGTGACTGCTCGATCTCGTGCCCCATATGCAAGGCTAGCAATTTTTTCTTTTTGCTTTCACAGTTTATTTTTGTGCATATTTTTCATGCCACATGACTTTTTTAATCTTTTTTAAACTGTGCCTTTCCAGCATGTCACTCTAACCCTTAAAAAAAAGTTTCTTCTCGCTTTTAATTCATGTAGCATATTGGGTTCAAACTTTTTATCCAGCAATTACCAGTAAATTTTGAGCATTCTGCAACGCATGGTTAATTTATTGGCAGCAGGAAACCCGTGAACGGTTTCTTTGACAAACTGTAAATTAAATCTTGCTTCCATTGATTATGGAAATAATGGACGCTGTCTTCGTCAATGCAAAACCTGTTGAAACTGTTTGCAGAGAAACACATATAAATATACTGCCTTGAACGAAGCCACAGGAGCTTGTAGGCTTGAATTTCATCTTTTCCGCATGGTGGTGTCATATGAAGGTGTTCGCGCAAGGTGGTGGCTCTTGTTAGTGTGGAGTTATCAACATACAGTTCTTCAGTGTTGTTGTCTTCCTTTTTGGTCATCTCAGCCATTGCAAGGCAGTTGAACAGATTGCTCATTTCGTTCCCCCTTTCTTGTAGCACAGACAAGTGAAATTATAGTTGCCACTTTTTCTCGGAGAGGCGTTTTCACAGTGAAACCCGACCAACTTGGACACTGGCCGTGTACACGTTCACTACCTGACTTGGGGAGCTCTCTTAGTTGGAGAGGTTTTCATTAGGGGCATGTACCATGTCAGTGCTCATTGAGCCTCTCCTTAGTCTGGAGGTTTCTGACTCGCATGCATGTCAGGCTTGGGGCATTGTGCTGTGGAGGGCAAAAAAATTGTGACATCTTTCAAGAGCAGGCAGCAAGAACAAAGTGAAAATACACTATGTTTTTATTATCCTGAATTTTGCTTATGTTGCACGCATGTGGGATTGCTGGAGTGTTTCAGAATTGGACAAAATGCAATCTGAAATTTGCTATTCTGGGAAATGGCAGTATGTATTACATTACAATGTGAATGGAGACGATCAAGTCTCAAGTCAACAGTGAAGGTCGAAATACCGGATGCCAATACTTGCCACCTTCATAATTGAGCGCCGTTCTGTCTGAGTGGTTTTCTGTTTTGGCTAGTATACAGTTTGTGCATATTCCAAGACTGCATACTTCTGTGGCTTTGTTCACTGTTTGCAAAGCTGTCTATATGTTATCTTGCACTTGTCATGATGTATGTTCCTGCTCTGTTTCAGGTTTAGGGTTTCTCAGCATCATAATTCTTCAGCAGCATATCTTTATCTTTTCTTTATATGAGTGTTTTGACATTCCTATTTTATTTTGTTGCACATGCAAATTATTGGAGCCCTTAGCATAATTGAAAGCTCTTGGGTATAAAGGATATGTGACCTAGCATTTCTGTCAAAAACATACCTGAAAAGTGCAAAACAAGATGCAGACCAAGAAATGCACCCAAGGTAAAGGGCTAATGTGTTGTTTTAGTGTCTGCATCAAGTTTTTTTTTTTTTTTTTTAGCGTTCATTAATTACATATTAACTAGCTCAACTTTCATCTTTGTTTCTGCCGAAAGTAGTGTTTTCTTTCCTGCATTTGAGCATGGATCCTTGATCTTAATTTTCTTCCGAGTCATTAGTGTTGAGTTGCTTGATTAATTTCTAGTTTCTCCAAACTGCAGCAAAAATACGAGCAAAATGCCTTGCCTGCTGATGCTAAGCAGTAAGAAAGGATGGTAGCAGTATCCACTGGTGCTTGGTGGGGTGGGGGGGGCACCAGAATCTGAACATACAGGAGCCAACATGTAAACAAATGAGAAAGTAATAGCAAAAGCTCTTTCTGCTTGTACCTACCTGCTCTACAGGCATGCACATTCTCAGCTTTTCTATATTATAGCATTTTCACTGCTTACAAAAATGTAAGCACAGCCACAAAAATGTCTGACATTTTGGCGGCTGCGCAACACAGTGCTGCCAGTGCCATAATCCAAGTCTAAGACTGGTGCATAAAAAATGTAGTGAACAGTCTGAGAACATTAACCACGTTAGCAGGGGTAAAAACAAAGCATTTATGAACAGGACATGGGACATTTGCACCGATTGCTGTGTAAATGTCCTTCCCTACACAGTCATAAATATTTTGTCATTTCTCTCTAGTAGTTCTAAACTTGGATAGCTGTTAAAGACATCGATGTGTGCAGTTTTCTGATTATTAAAAAATTACAATTGAAGTTTGAGAAAAAATTTCACTTTGAGATTACCATAAAATGTATTGCAGAAGCTATTTCAGCGTTTTCTTTCCTAAAGCATACTATTAGCACTACACAGGGCGTTTCACGAAAGGTGGACAAATTCAATATTGCGAAAACTATGTGTCGCACCAAAAAAAAAAAAAGGCTTGTGTCGTTTTTGTCCTAGGCCAGGGGTCTATTTAGGAAAATTATTAAAGTTTGGGTTAATTAAGTTGTTAATTATTTTCTCGTAATTAATTTTTTAAATATTGATTTTAAGGGCATGGTTACAATTAAGAATCTTGCTGAGCATCATCGAAAAACACTAAACAACCTGCAGAACGATAAAAGGCACGCACAGCATTTTACGGCTTTCTGAAAAACCACACAACTTCGACAGGTTTTTGAAGTTTCGGTTTTCAATCGGAGTGCTTCTCGGCCCCGACGGCACCGCGCCCCGTGGAGAAATCGTGCAACCAACCTCTGCTGCGCTGTCCTCGCGCAGCGCATCAGAGGCTGGTTGCACTATTTCTCCACGGGGTGCGGTGCAGTCAATGCTAAGAAGCGCTCCGATTGCAAACTGAAACCTAAAATCCCGCCAAAGTTGTGCGGTTTTCTAGAAAGTTGTGAAGTGCTTCTATTGTTCTGCAATTTATTGATTTATTGTTTTTCGATGATGCTGAGCAATTTTATAATTGAAACAATTCCCTTAAACACAATATTAAAAAGTTAATTATGCAGAAATAATTAACAACTTAATTATCCCAAATTTTATTAATTTTTCTAAATGGGCCCCTGGCCCAATACCTAAACCACACAAGCCTTTTTTTGTTGCGACGCATAGTTTTCGCAATATCGAACTTGTCCACTTTTCGTGGAACACCCTGTATAAGATCCGCATGCCATTAGAGGTGTAAGGATTAGTAAACTCATACATATTTTCTAGCATACACTACAATTGCCTCATTTAGGAACAATAACTGCTCAAGATCCTATTCGCGACTCCAGCGACCTGTAGGGGGCGCCACCACCAAACAAACATGGCGGCTGAGTCCAGGTCGCGTCGGCTCGGCCGGGCCGCCTGAATGGGTGGCGCACTCAATTTAACAATTATTATTTTGTTGAATGCCCAATTTTATGGGTATTTGAACTGAGACAGTTAAGTTTAGCCGGTGCGCATAAACTTGCCGAGCATAGTTTTGTTTTGCCGGTGTTTTTTGTTCTTTTCATGTCAAACTTTCGCTGCGGAGACTTCGATCAAAACCGAAACTATGGGCTCCGGAGAAACGGTAATAGACTCTAATTAGTTTTCATCATCTAAGGAAAGCGGCGAGGGCTACAAAATTGTTCCACCAAGAGTAATGTTTAGCTAACTCGCATGCCTCGATCATGCGACTTACCTGTCCGCGAAATTGAGCTTTTGTGCCTGTCCGCGTTTCAAGAAACAGCTGCAGTCGTGTGCTCGGTCAAGAACACAGGCTGCAGGAAAATTACGAAAATTAAGCAAGCGCTTCTTGAGCCAAGGAGCATGTCAACTCGCTGGCACTTCACTAAGCAGCTGATACTCGTATTTCAATTCAGGTTTTAGTAGCAATCGAAAAGTCATTTTGATGAATATGCAGTTATGTGTTATATTACGTACTATGGTCCCACTAAAGCGATATTAGTATGTTCTTCGGGTTGAAATATGAACATAGTCGACTAACTATTAGGGTGAACTGCTGAATAAAAGTATATCTGACAGACAGAGAGATACTACTTAAACTTAGCCAAATGGTTCTAGCCGGTAGAACGGGACGAGTGCGGACAAGCTGAGGAGAGTCTTCATCGGAGATTCACTCAGACCTCTCTGCATTGAACTTGACTTCGAATCCTAAACGGATAATTTTTTTATTTTTTTTTGTGGCCGGTCAATTTGAGCAATGTAGACGTATATTGCTGCTGGATTCGACAGGGGTTATAAGTATTGGAGGCGCGATAGATCCTAATGACGTGACAGCTTCTATCTTTGCGAGACGCGTCCCCCACCTTTTGAAAGCAGATAATTTCCCTCATTAATCATGTGCAGCGAGCAGGTTTTCTGAATCAAGTAATTGCGAAATTAGCCCAACTCCTTCAATGTGGTCTTTTTCGGCGAAAAGCCGCCAAGATGAATAGCCAACGCACCGGCCGGCGTTAGTGGCTCAAATTAACCTGAAGCTAATCCAGCACAACCAAACTCAAGGAAAGCAGCTATCGAACCTTCCCATTCACTTGACTGCAACATTGGTGTCCCCTCCAGTAAAACACTTCGTCTGTCGACCTCAGTCTACTGTTCTACATCCTTATAAAGAAACCGCTTATCAGTTACCAAGCAGTCGTCACTTTGATTGTGATTAGAGACAGACGAGAAATCAAAACGTTTTTCCGTGATTCCTTCCCATCCAAAAAATTGAAAGCACGCGATCGTGTGTTGTGGAATAAACGGGCTTTCAAACACGTGATGGAAAGAAACAATCTACTGAGGCTTCACCACACTAATGAACACTCAGGCAAACTTAAGAAATTTTCGGACCTTCATCAAATTACATTGCTCGCCGCCGCGCCGACAGCACGCGTCCGCGAAAGCCACCAGAGACGCGGCGGGGCGCGGAGCGACCTGGACCGGCTGGTTCCCGGTTTTCCCGCTTGGCGGCGTCCGTTTTGCTGGAGTCGCGAATAAACATGCTCTGTCTGACCTGTAGTAAATAATGCATCATTCTTCTTTTTGACTCTAGACAACCATTTTAGTGATGGAAGGAATGCTTTAGATTAGGGGTGTGCGAATAGTGAAATTTCAGCTCGAATTGAATTTGAATAGAATAGTGCCAAATAGGTGACCAGAAAGTTGAACCTCTAATTGAATATTAAATAACAAAACTTTTATTTGCATTGCATAAACACTAAACAAAAAACTGCCTAGAATAAAAAAAAAAGTCCTATATGCTTCTTTTACTGCAATACGCCAAACAAAGAGTGGCTAGCACAAAAAAAGAAAAAAGAAAAAGCCGTTAATGATTGCTGGGCAGTGACAATCTTGGGACATAGCTGAAGAGTGTGTCCGTTCATCCACGCATGGATCAATTAATGAATACACAACATCTGTAGCATGCTAGATGGATAGACAGGTATGGCTGAACCATTTAAATCTGGGTGCCCCCTTTATAAGGCTTGCAAACAACAATAAAATTTGAATCGGGGCAACATCTTAGATGCAGTCTAGAGACATCTTCGAGTCACCTAGCCACAGCACCTTGCTGAACAAAGTGCTGTGGCCAAGTGGACGAGGCATGTTAAATTACTGCTGTTATTCATGCTTTGATAATTAATTGTCCTATTAGGAATGCAACAACAGGTTTGAAGCACTGTCACAGCTGAAGGGAGGTTATATAGTACTTGACTTGTGTGGTTTTGTTGAGTGCGTTGAAGAAGCTCGAGCGCGACTGCTTTATTCCAGGAATACCAACTACTTTTTATCGAAATGGTTAGTTGGTTGAGACTTCACAATGGGCATGTTTGATTTAGACCTACCCATTAGGCCTGCGACAAGGGCTATGTTGACGTGAATAAACCTGTATTTCATTCCAAGCATTTGACATATTGAATTATTAGAAAACTTGAATATTAGGAACTCTAATCAGATTATTTGGGCAATCGCTATTCAATTTGAATTTGAAGCTGTAATTACACATCCCTACTTTATAGCCCACTCTACTGTAGTATAAGAGGGTCAAGCTCAAGAATTTTTTGACCCGCCCCCACCTTGTGAGGCAAAGTGATAGCTGATGAAGTTGGCACACTGGCTCCCTGAGGCCTTTCTAAATCCACCTGTGTTTGCTACAGGGTGGAAAAAAGTCGAGATTTTTTTTAAAAAGTTGAATAAATCAGATTTATATGATTCAAATAAGATTTATTTGATTTAAATCAGTAGCTGTAAGAAAACACTTCTTAATCACTAGATGTATTTTTAAACATGACATTGATCAATCAATTCATCTGACCACTGAAAACATTGTAGAAGAAAGAAGTACCATAATTTTAAGGTGCATTTTTATTAACAACTTTCTACTGAGGAAACCCTGCCATAGCATAACAAAAACAGCTTGATATTTTATTTGTTAGTGAAAAAGATTTAGTCGCTTTTTCTTTTGCATTCAAGTGGGCACTGCTCTTCTTTAAAAAGAGCAGTCCCCACTTCAGTGTCCAGTAAATAAAGGAAATTACAAAAGTAGTTAATTTTTTCATATTTTTTTATGCATGTGCTGAGGACAGACATATCTATGCTGCTCTTTAATCAGTTATAGATGTATTTGTTTCTTGAGCTTTTATATACAAGACTGCATTACAAGTAGTCTTATTTGGTGAGAAGTGTATCAATGTTTTTTTACTCATGTTATTACTGTCTTTTCTACTTAATGCTTGGTGGTGGCACATTCAAGAATGCTCTGACTGCAATGTTCACTGACTAACACTGGCAGAGTAGAAAGCAAGGTTTTCTGGAAAAGATGTTAATGTGCACCTGCATTGAGGTCCAGTGTCTGCAACTGTTTGTGTAGAGAATGACATCTTGTAAAGTGCTCACAAGTTAGCCACGTATGCAGCAAGTGTGGTAACAAACACATACAACTTATTTCTGCAGAGGTACCGCTACCATAGGCCTCCCGAACCCGACGTGAGTAACCTTGAACTAACACTGGTCTGGATTACGCCCTCTGCACTTTCCCCGCTTGCCTTCTCGACTTGGTGGTGGAGTCTGCCACTCTTCTGCACAACATTCTCACACTCTCGTGGTGCGTCTCTCGCGTGCTTTGTGCATAATGATACAAAGCAACATCCCAACTAATCACACTTGGATGTGCCAAGCGCGCCCCGCCACTTGACTTGGTCGCCTGCATTTTCGCCCGCCGTTGACCCTGGCAAGTTTCTTGGCCCCATTTTTACAGAAAGGGAGCTACGCTTTCCAATTTTGCAAGGAGAAACCGATCTGTGAAATACACCTTTGACGAAAAGATGAGATTGCTACGTGCAAGCGTCAATTTTTATGTTCCATTTAGATCGAGCCTGGGGACACCATATATACTCGTACGTTAGGTGCGGCGATTGTTTGCTATGGTGCTTTGTGATGTATGGGTTTGCATGAGCTAAAGGTAATCCACTGCTTTCCACTTGCACTGTCCTATATCATCAATTGCATATATATATATACACAAGGTGTTTCTTTTCAAGGTCAACAGATTTGTTTTAAAAAAGCCGTGAAAGTTGTATGGCCAGGGGGACATAATATAGGGGGCTAATCGTCACGGCAAGTGGAATAATTCGCTAAAATTTGTTGATTAACTTTTTGATTAGGTAAAATAGGCATGATTTCACTTAAAAACTTGATAAGCGTCATCGAAAACCACTAAATCAGTAATTTTTAAAAAGACTGAGTGCGTGGGAAGTGCAGTTGTGCACTGAAGTTACCACACGTGCAACAGGCACAAGGCTGGGGCTATGATAAAAGACAGACAAACCGCACGGGAGCGTGATGGCACCGGTAGCCTTACTCCGGCTGCACGAGTGGCGACTTTAGCTCTCCACCGTGCTACCCACGTGCTCCTAGTCTTCCGATATTGACTGATTAGTGGTTTTCGATGACGCTCAGCAAGTTTCTAATTAGAACCATACATTTAATCAATAATTACAACATTAACACATTTTAGTTAATTACCTGTCTGATAGATACGATTAGCCCCCAATATGTGTCCCCCTTGCCGTATAACTCGCCTACACAAACTGCATTCGTGTAGCTTTCACGGCTTTTTTTAAACAAATCTGTTAAGCTTAAATAGAAACAGCCTGTACTTAGTCTTTCTGGAATAAAAAAAAAAAAAATAAATAAAAAAGAGGGATTTTGCCTTAGGGATTTTGCATTGGTGGCCATGACAGCCACTAGAAAAGGGGCAAAAAGGGTAAATTTTTTTCTTTTATTTTTTATTGTTTTGGGGCGTAATGTATATTAAAGGGCAACTCTGGCTAAAACTCAAAATGAAATAAATTACAGGTATCGCTGTAGTGACACAAAATGCGACCCCAGCCAAAATATTACGTCCGTGGGACGCCGCATTTTCAACTGATGCCGATAATAAAAATGCGAGCCGCCGCGAGCCACCGCTCCTTAGCGGGCGGCCAGCGGGTTGCTGATCGCTAAAGCAACGTTGGGCCGTGACGTCAGGATCTTTCTCTTTTTTTCTTCTGGTCCGGTCGGGCGCACCCGTTGCGTGGTCGAGCAGTGAAAAGTGTGCTTCTTTGAGTCGCTACCACCGCTACTTCGGCTTGTGATTGGCGGGTTTAGCCGTTGCTTTTATATGTAGCCCGTGTAGCTTCGGTATAGCCTTTTGTTTATTTGTTTGTGAGGACTCCAAGACTCGTTTTAGCGAGCAACTCGGTGCGCCCAAGACTGCCCAGCTTGCTGTTCGAGGAGTGGACTTTGAGACCTGTCTGTTTTTTCTGTTTCTTCTGCTCTTCAAAAAAAAACCCCAGTCTCAGGGTAAACGACGAAATGGTTGACTTCCACCAGCTAGCCTGTACTTTGACTCTTTTCTCGTACTGCCCAGCTGTTCCTCGAAAGATGCCGAGTACAACTTTTAGCGCTGTGGGCTGCTCAAACAACTCGCTGTGCAACCCGGAGGTCCTTTTTTACAAGTTTCCAACGGACTCGAAATCGGAGAATTTGTGGGTGATTGCTGTTCGAGGAGTGGACTTTGGAAAGCCTTGGACGCCGCACCGAACGAGTTCACTCGTCTTCCAGTCGCTAGCTTTTCGGTATACAAGCGACGAGTACAACAGAGCCCACATACGGTGGCGGCCGCCGAGTATGGCACCGAACGAGTTCATGGGTTTTTTAGTCGCTATCTTTTGGGTATACGCCCTAACTCTTGCTACATATGCTGGATAACTACCACGTATACAGAATTAAAACAAAATCAGCTTACCTTCTTTCTTCAGACGGCTAGCGCAACAGAGGTAGGTGCTGCTTGGCCTGCGTACTCGTTGAACGAGAACGATCCTGACGTCGCGTCCACATAGCGGCTGATTTCCAGTGTTGCTGGGGCTTGGAGCGACTAGTTTCGGTTTTGTCGGCCGCGCCCCAAACAAAACTTTGAAGCGTCGATATCTTTAAAACTACGCACAATAACAAGAAAAAAATTACACCTTGTAATTAAGGGACGCTGATTGCGCTAAAAACAGTCATAATCCCAAAATCGAAAGTATGGACCGTATTTGCCCTTTAAGAATTGACGCTTAACCTTAATACTAGCCGTGCCTTAAAATTTCAATAGAGAAATTTGTAGTGGGCACTACGGCGTGAGAAATGTCATCCTGATACATGGCTTCAAACCGAAACTAAGTGGGCAAAGAGCGCCAGTGCACCTGCGGCATGGACACATGGTTTGGCGCCATTGGAGCCGGTTTCGGTTGCGAATCTGGCAATGCTCGGTGGGATAAATGTCACCGGCGCTCTTTGCCCGCATAGTTACAGCTTGAAGCTTTGTACAAGGGTGACATTTCTCACTCTTAGCGCCCACTACAAACCTTTTCATCAACAATTTAATGGCATGGCTACACATAAGCGAGATGGAGCCTCAATTCTCCAATTACATTATGCCCCGAAAAACAAAAATTTTTAAAGTTAATCGTCTCATTTCATGTGGCCGCCATGGCCACCAACTTGGCCCTAGTGTTAAAAAATCACTAATGCAAGTCTCTCCCCCCCTCCCTTTTTTTCGTGTTAATTTTGGTTTGATTAAAAAATAACATTTTGCATAAAGATGGAACTTGCCAAATTATGTCATTGTGCTCAAAAGGACTATCTGTGCCATCTTGATGAAATTGTATCCAACTTTCCATAAATTCTAGATACTATACATAAACAACTTATATTTTGCAATGACTTCATCTAAGTGAACCAAAGCTAATTGAGAAGAAAAAAAAAGTTTCATGCTTGTGAGCAAGTTTGCCCTCGATTGCGACATTTCATTCTTAAAAGATGTTTTTAAATGTACCGCTTTCTCAAATTCAGGAAATTTAAGTTTCTGAATCTGGAGTAACTTTTCTATTGTTATTTTTACTTTGGTTTTAAAAATTAATGTGAATGTAGAGTAACCTTTTTATTGTTTTTAGTTTGTTTTAAAAAATTAATAGAACTAAAATATTATTTTGAATTGCGACCTTTTCAAAATGCAAATTCACGAGAGTGGCTCTATTACCATAATTTTTCATTGAGTCTTTGAGAAAAAAAAAGAGAAATGTAGAATTACTAGGAAAGTAGAAATCTTTATTACTAATTGAAACTTCACAATTATTTTAATCTTCTTAAAGAATATTTCATTACTTTTTTTATTACCACATGGCCAGTCTAGAAAAGGGAGATAAAAGCACACACACAATGTAGCATTTTGTCATTTATGAAATTCCTATCATCTCGTGCTAACATATTTAAAGCTTGCTGTCTGCCTTTGTGCGTGTCTTTCTGCTTCCGAACTGCTGTAAGACATTGTTTTTGCTGCTCCATAATTGCTAAAGAAAAAAAGACTTTACAGGATTCCATCCATGCACATACTGTAAAGTGTGTCCTTTCCTTTTTAAGATCTTCGTCAACATGCATATATTCAGGGAAATTATTGTTACCTAGTTTACAGCGATGTGTGTGGTGGCTTGTGTGGAATCGGTGGCATGCAAGGTGGTGGCCATACTATTTGTGGGTGTGGTGCTTTTTTTTATTCGGGATTGTTTTCTGCAAGCAGGTTTCTTTCTCCTTCAATATCTTTTTTACTGAGCAATTTACAAAAAATGTTCCTTTCTTCACCGTGACCTCCCAGAAGGAACTTTTATGATTATTGTTTTTACTGTCGCTTTGTTGGAGTCTGCTTCATGTTAAATTCCCAAGTCACAGATTGTAAGTGGAGTTATGCTTTGCACTTGCAAATGGGCTGGAAGACGTTACAGAGTGTGAAAAAGGCTGAACCAAAATCTTTCATTGTTATAAGCCGCTAGAGGGCTGAATTGATATGTATTATGCTAACGTGCTGACTGTTGAAACCACTGCACGTTTATTTTCTCCGGTAATGATTTCAAGTACCATATTTACTCGATTTGAACGTGCACTGTTTACTGCACGTCCACTTTGTTACAGAGCATGTGGAAGGCCAATGATTGTGACTTACGAAAGGGTTGATAGAAAATAACAATTACTAAAAAACTTTTTTTTTTTTTTTTTCAAAATTGCTGTTTTATTGGATTTTGGGTATGTTGAATGTCATGCTCATTTTTAAAGTGCAGGCAGCATGTATGGAAACATTGTGGCCTCATTGTTGGCTAGGTCCTCCTTTCTTAGGTCACAAGTATTGGCTCTACACATGTTCTATGGAAAGTGGAGCACATGTAAGAATCTAATACATTCTTTATCTAATTATGTTTATTTACTGTTAAAACGCATCGGTGGAATCTCCAAGTTCAGAACCTGCCAGCTCTCGTGCTCAGTGCTTGCATCTGCTTTTTGTTTGTCTGTGTTGATTGTCAATGCTGTACATAGAATTACTAAGCAAATGACATTCTATGTTGGAGCACTTTCTAAACAAACTTGCATCTTTGTACAAATATCTGATTCCAAGTTATAGTATTCCCTGCCTCTTTGGCAACTGTGTAGTGAATGACGCTAGTCAATGAAGCACAAACTAACTTCTTGCCATTAGCTAAAAGGATTGAATAAAACAATTGCACTACCAGGGACACTACTGAGGTTTTAGATGGCTTATACCCTGCTGGAGGGATAGAGGACTGTGTTTGAATCAAATATTCATTGTGACAGCTAGCTGCCCCAAAACTATCACCTGAGTGTAGGGTCTTAAAGAAATAATTCCTCGAGAACAACATTAGCTACTGCGGTGGATGTCAGGTTATGAGTGTAAAGTGACTGAGCAAATGATTTACCTAAAATCCACTAATTAACTTTTGAAATAATTTTAGGCAACTCGTTCCAATTACAGATGTGTTTCCTTTCGTCAAAATATGCCATAGCAGTTGTTAAAATTCAGACAACTAAATTCTTCGTGCTGTTCTTTTGCAAATTTAAGCTGAAAGCAGATGAGCTACCGAAACTAGACAAAAAAAGGATGGCGGTAGTCCCACCTGGAAGCTACTTCAGCCTCCGCAGGGGGTGCAGGTAGCGAATTACTACGAGCCGATAAGAGTGACATGGCTATAGAAAAGTCACACCATAGTCTGCTATCTTCTCGGGCACACATCTTTCGGCACTCTTTTTCTCTTGGTTTCGGTATGGCAAACCCTAGACAGCTTAAATTTGCCAGAAAATAGTGTGTAGCAGAACTAGCGTTCTGAATTCTGCTATGGCATATTTTTGCAACTAGTAACAAATTTCTAATTGGAGTGTGCCAGCTGAAGTGAATTTTTCAAAAGGTAATTAGTAGATTTTAGGTTATTAACTTGCTAATTATCACTTTGTATTCTCTACCTGATCTCCACTGTGGTGGATAACATTTTTTTAAAGGAATTATTTCTTAGTTTTTTGTGTTTTTTCTTCAGAAATTATTTTCCCTCGTAAGAAAAACATCCTCTATATTCTATATGTGAAGGCCCGTTCACACTCTTGCAACCGAGTACGACCAAGAGAGACCAAACCGGTTTTTAAGCCTCTTGCGATCTCTTAGGACCAGCTCCGCTCAGCGCATCCGGTCTCAAGAAGTCTTTCTCGGTCGTACTCGGTTGCAAGAGTGTGAACGCGCCTTAAGGTTCCATGTTTTCGAAGCCTATTTGTTGTTCCAAATTTAGCATTTGTCTGAGCTTTTTTTTAAAATTCAAATTCTCTGAAATTTTGCATTTATCAGAGTTTAGTTTTTGTTATATTCTTAACTTTCCATAGTATTGAAGAGAAAAAAAAAAAGAAAAGAAGAAACAATTACACGCGAACACATCCAAAGACAGAAAGCAATTTTAATTGTGAGCAAGATTTAGGAGGAATTTGTGGGATCATAAGAACACTGCCTTCTTTTTTTTGTGTGTAAAAATCCCGAATGGTATAGTCTAGAGCCACCATTAAATGAGCTACGCTTAGAGTGTCAGCACTGTGTCCCCCATCTGCTAGTGGGCGCCGGCATCTTGGTGTTTAGTGCAGGCAGACGCAACTGTCGATCGCCACAATTAAAAACGTCTTCCTCAGCTTTAGGTAGGGTATTAGGAAGCTCGGATGACATTGTGTTGCTCTGCCGAGAACTGTTTTAACATGTCTGGAGGTCGGAAAAGCGTTTCCTGTCATTTCAGAGTAAGCTTCAGATAACTGGCAACCATGATTTTAAGCACCAAGACGGTGGAAGTGTCGTTACTCTGAAGCGTAGCTTATGTAGTGGCTCTAGTACAGTCTGATATGGAAACCTGAGCAGCGACTAGCAGAGTAACGTGCTTAGACTGTCCTTTGTTGTGACCCAGAAATGCAACAACCTTGGCTCTAGTCACTGACAGGATAAGCATGGCAGGGAGGTCCTTCACTTGTCCCGCCTCCAGCAGGAGCTTCCTACCTTTGACATCGCTTCGGCGTCTCACGAGTCTCTAGCGTCCACGCGTAGCCAGAGCACAATGGAAGGCAGCGAGCGCATATGGAAGGCAGCGAGCGCTCGTTGCGGAGTCCGAAAGAAATTCCCTGCCATTCTGATCCTGTCAGTGAATTTAGTTATCCTAAACACGTTGGTGCTTTGTCAATTCTTCGAGGTTGAAAAGGAGACTAGATTCGTTTTGTTAGGGCTATCGCTGGCCTGGCGCATAAGTGAGTTTAATGTAAGGTAATTCAGTCTTTTTTTTTTCTTTTCTTGTTGCCTTAGTTTTGAATTTCTCTTTTTTTGGAGGAGCAAGTTTTTCGAAAAATTTTTTGTTTTATACAAAAGCATGGAACACTAATCTACAGCATGTCCAAAAACAATATGGGCGTTTTTTTTTTTTTTAAATAAGTTATTTTTTTGCTGAACGTTTGGCCTCCGTCCAGATGTAGTGCTAGCAGTCCGAACCGGATGCCAAAGTTTCAGAATTAACTGTTATCTTATTAAAAAGTTATAAGTGATTTTCTGAAAATTTCAATAGGAAAATGGGTCTCGTTCTTGGTAACTTAAGCCATTCAGCTTCATGTTTTCGAGGGCTCTGTCAACCGCCGGTTTTCCATTGAAAATTGCAGAAAATCGCTTATAACTTTTGAATAACATTACGGTTACTCCTGAAACTTTGCCATCTGGTTCGGACCACTATCACGATATTGGGGCTGAGAATTGGCGTTCGGTGATGTGTAGTTTCTTTTTGTGGTAAAAGAAACGCTGTAAATTTTATATATTACAGTGTAGCTGCATCGTATATCTGCTCCTCGCTCATTATTGAGGGCTCCTGACCCAGCGCTCATGAAATATAAGCAAGACGACGACATCGTGGTGGAACGGTTTTTCTGTGTTTCTCTTTGAAGCAAAATGCTGTCATCAAAGCTACTAAAGTGCTCATTTGGGGCACTAACCTAAGGGGTAAATTTGGTGCCTTTCAAAGTAAAATGCACTAGAAGCACGAGCATCACGCTTATCATGTTGCGCATTATAAATTGGTGACTGCCTTAAATGGCTGCACTTAATTCACTCTGGATTTTCTCTGCTACCTGCTTGTTTCCTCTCTCTTCTGCCCTGCAACAAATTGCGGTGCTTTCCCCTCCTCCGACATTTTGTTTGTTGTTTCAGAACACGATCACCCTGCAACCTGGCATGATGAGGGGCACTCTGTTGGTGAAAACAGAGAACGGCCAGCTTCAGGTGGTCAACGTAGCACCAAGCCTGCCACCCAATTCCTCTGCCACAAGTATCTCGGGTGCCCCAACCTACCGGTTGCAGTCTGTACAGGTATGGGCTCCCGTTTCTGCTTGGCTGGCTTTTTGCAAGGAGCCATGTCAGGCACCTGTTTGTACTTCTATTAGAAGAGGTGTTGCAACTTTGAAATGTGACTTCACTTCTGGTGGAAGCAAGCATGATGTCTCTCTTTGCTTGCTATAGCATTTTTTAGTATTGTGTTGTCAGTGGCATGCAAAATTGCTCGTTCCTTTTTTTTTCTTTTTTTTGAGTGCATGAAAGAAAACCTATAAAATGCTTCGAGCATTCCCTAATATTATGTTTCTCTTACCCTTACTTTCGGCCGACATGGTGTTTTAAAGTTACGGTATTGGGGTCGACGTGTTTGATATGAGCATTTTGACACATTTGATAAAGTCACACTAGCGAACTTTTATGCTCTTGGCCTACATACGTATTGATTGCCCTGCTTCTTTGTCGCTCTAGCTGTTTAAGAGCAAGTCAAAATCTTTTTTTTCTTCTTTATTATCCGAAATGATAGAAAACAATGCCTGGACATTACCCTCGAAATTTGAAACTTGGGAACTCATTATTTGTGAAGTAAGAAAACAATTTCCAAAAGCCCAATTTGAAGTTCCCCTGCGATTCGCGCCAGTGCAGTGACGTCATTGAGTCGCCCTGCTACTCGAGTTTTTCTCACGCCTCGGAACCCTTTTCACCCAGGGTGTTGTGTTCGCCCGTGTCCTGCGATCAAGACCATGCATGCCACCTATCGCTTTCAGCAGATGACGCTTCTTTTACGAGCTTGAAGTTCTTTTAGGACCCTTTCAGTGATCTCAAATTCTTTGAAACGGTGTGAGGTCGAAGAGGATGTACAGTAAACTTATGTGAGCTGCTTGAGGGGCCACGTCGCGCCGGTTCTGCGCTGGTTCTGCGTGAAAGGCTGCCCCGGTGGAGTCACAACTGAAACTATAGTACACAGACACCAAACCCAGTTGTTTTGACCATTTGACGATTTATTTTTCCAAGTCTTAGAGGTGTTCGGGCACCTAAAAAAGAGAACTGCTATCGATTCCCCGACTCGCCAATCATCCGCAGTGCTACATGTGCCGAGCACCCGCATGTTTTCCGAGGGAGGATAAAAAGCCAGGAGGCGACATCACTAAACACTTCAATTTTCAGTATTTCAAAAAGAAGGGCCTGAGTGCATTTGCAATTGCATTGAAAAACATGTTTTACCAATGCCGTTATTAAATATTATATAAATGCTGCTTACAAAGCTTCTAAATATTATAATCGATTATGTCACAAATAAAAACAAGCGAGGTGGTGAGTTGGAGAAAAGCAACAGAAATTAAAAAAACGCGCTCGCATGGGGAAATTTTTTTCTTTTTTTCGTTGATGTATTTTTTTTTGTGTCTGTGACTACAACTTGCATCATTTTAGACAACAACAAAATATACGACCTTTGGGGTGTTAGTGGCCCTTTAAGTATTGATTTAAAGAGCAGAATGAACAGAGTGCAGCCAGAATCTGGAAAATTTTAAATGGTGTGATGTCCCCTCACACTTTACTCAGTGCGCACCTGTCAAGGGCCTTGGCTTTGTTTTTTAAGTTTCTCACAATAGCTACGCACGAGTCATGAGAGTTCTTCAAACATTGAGGGATGCTCCAAATTACAATTGAGACTGTCCACCTTGTTACAAAACCTGCTGTATAGAAGTAGAGTAACTGAATGGCGGAGCCAGAGTAGCGCATTCTTTTTCCTTTCGTCGCCAAGCGCAGCTCAAGCACATGCACTTCCGAGGAAGAGGGTTACTGGCGGCGCACTGCCTGTTTGCATTGACGCGGCTACGTTGACATTGGATCAGAGAGGGGAGATCATTGCACTACTGTGCTCCACAAGTGGGGGACATACAGTTCATTGAATGCCGGCCCATTCATTCCCGTGGAAAGTATGCATTGCACAGAAAAAAAAGGTTGATGTCATATTGATATCTGCCAAAGGGTCTATGTAGGAAAATTAATAACTTTCAATGTAGGGTTATTAACTACTTTTGAGTAATTAACTTTTCAATTAGTAAATTTAGGGGTATGGTTTCAATTAAAAAGTTCTGGATGTGATTGAAAATCTCGAAATGAGACCACTTTACAAAAATATAAGGACAGGTGAAAAAACATCTTATTAATTATTTTATCACTTTTTACAGCGGAGCTTTTAAGGGCTAGTTTCCCCAGTATCATGTCCGTGGGCAAACAAATCTTGACACAAAACTCTGGACAGCTGCCGCCATCTATTAGCGACGGCGGCAACCAGGCAACCGGCTTGCCGGTTGTGTGGTTGCCGCCGTTCGTTGCTCATAGATGGCGGCAACCTTTCCAGCCTTTCCACTCTGGCTTGCCGACTTGCGGCCGGCCATTACTTCATTCCCACCATGGTACAGGTTCGCTTTCCCTCTTCACCAGAGTGGAAAGGCTGAAAGTTTTTTAAGTCTTGGCTTCCTGTCAGAACACATCCCTGTGCCAGCAGACCTGTTCTCGTAGCCAAAGTGTGCATCTATCGCCTTGTCTCTTCTCGCAGAAGAAAATTAACTATGGAGCATGCCGGTGCACTGAAACGCTGTACTTTTCAAATGACATTGCAAAAATAAGCTTTGATTCTTGGGTTCACTTCCCTCATGCAAAGAATGACTGGTGGCACGCATTAGGTGCGTGCCACAAGGGACAGGGCCACTGGTGCAAAGGAAGATATGCTCGGTTGGGAAACTAAATCCTAGCTGCGCATTGTTTTTTTTTTGGGGGAGTTTTTTTTTTTTTTAAGCACCATAAAATGGTGCGCACACCTTACAGCTTTCTAAAGTGAGCTGATTTAATGATTTTTGGCAATGTCTAGTAGTTTTCTAACTGAGAACATACCTTTAAACTTACAAACAGTTAGTTACTAAAAATTATTAATCACCTAATTATACCGAGCATTATTCATTTTCCCGAATAGGCCCCTTGTCAGAAACAGCTGTCATTTTTTATTTATTTATTTATTACGGTACCCTCAGGGTCCAGAGGGCAGTACCGTAATATTCCAAGAGATAGCCCACCTAAAATCTAATGCAAATCGGATGGAAATAAGAAGTAAACTAAATTTCAATGTGCGTTAAAAAAAAAAAAAATTAAAAAAGAATGCTAGTTTTAGATTTTGTGACTGCAAAACTTGTAATCACAGGGAGGAGCGATAAAGACCGAAGATGACTATCATTCCCAGTCAGCAGTGTTTGCGTATCTCGCCATGGTCAACGAACATCATTTCTGCCAAGGTCACCATGGGCCAGGGCCCTGCAATTGCTAGAAGTGGGCTATCTTTCGGTGTTTTTGAAAAAATAACAAATTGTGCCAGAAATAGGGGTAGGTTATCTTTTGGAGGTGGGGCATCTCTCGGATATTACGGTAAGCTCTTTTTGTGTTTGATGCATAGTTTTCGCAGAACACTTTGGCCGGTGTTCCGTGAAACAGTCTGTCATTGGTGTGGAGTTTTACACCCCTCCATTTCACGACGCTAGAATTTTTTTCCGAAATAGCCAATCACAATTGGAAAGTCAGAATTTCAAGGTGCAGCTGGCATCCTGTGTCCTTGCAGTGATGTTGGTGTTTGAGCAGGAGCTAAATTAGCTGAGAGAAATGCTCGACCTGTCATGGTGCCGACCCTATTACATGCATCATACATTTGCTTGAAAGTACTACTAGTTTAAAGTTTATTTGGTTTCTCACGGTCCAGGCCACAGTACCAGAAGGAAGGCAGGAAGTTTGATATCCCAAAGCGTTGTACATTGTCTAGGATAGTAACTTATGCACTGTCAGAGGCCTAGTGACTGAGATATATGTTGAAGTCTGCATGTACTAACGAGGCTTGTAAGGTAGTGCAAAGCACATCTAGCTCCTTTCCAATTTTTGTGTTCTCTCTTCATGTGATTTGATTCTGAGAATCCTAATTGCATCATTAGGATCGGTTCCTGCCATTCTCTGGTACCATTAATTTGCCTTCTGTTCAAGAGCACAGGATGTCTCTGCTTTCCTTTGTGTTTGTCAGCATGAGGAAGCTTGCTTTTGGTTTGACATATTTTGGGGGAATTCGGTATAACATATTTTTGGGCAATTTGGTTATCGAGACCATGCCTAGACTATATTTTTCATGAACTATGATCTCTTAGAGTTGACTTTGAATCCGGATGTGGTAATGTTAGTGCATAATCTGTCTTGTGCACATAGTCAGCTTTAAGCTGGCATATGCTGTGCACATGGAAACCTGATCTGAAAACGGTGCACAACCTCTTATTGCCAGCACAGCCATAGCCTATCTAGTCCTGTGTGAACGTAAAACTGCTCATTGCTTCAGATTATAGGAGGCCAGTATCAGAAGCATATTTAAAATTTTTATTTTAAAGTTCACATTTTTTAAAAATAATTATATGGTTTCTTGGGCAGCATATTTCTGTCTTACAGCCACTTAAGTATTGTAAATACCTACACTGATGTGGGAGTCTTTTTCTTAACAGTGTGATTATTTCTCCTTCTTATCCAGACTAGATTTTAACTGGACATATGATCAGTAAGGTCTTCCAGATGCACAGCAGTTAAAAAAAGGCCTATCATTACAGAATTGCAGACACCAAACCCCTCTTGCGCGTCGTACCCATATTCACGAGCACATGAAGCAGCAGGTGAGAATAAATTGAGTTCTTTTTGTTACTTTATGAGCAGTTCAGCTGTGCATAAAAAAAAAGAAGAAAAAAAGTGGCATCTGTTGGTCACTGCAAATACTTCATTGTTTATGTTTAGTTAATAGGTGATTGCTCGTACTGTGACTACTAACATCAGTTTGTCCGCATAAACAGTGAGTTAACTACGCCGTGTAGCATTGTTATCGGCCAACTGTCATCGGTTTGGTGCCTATGTCATAGTAGTAATTTCTTTTTGTAGAACTTGTGACGGAAGCAGCGAGTCTGCATGCGCGTGGCCTATGAAAAAAATGCAGGGACTAGTTTTATTCATGCTCTGATTAAGGGAGCTGCCATGCATATAGTGGCGTGCTGTGCATATTTCCAGGGTGTGCAATTTGGACAAAACTTGCCAACAGTCAATATGAGGTTACTAAGTAATCAAAAGTATGTTTCACCATGGATGTGAATCACTTCTAAGATGAGACTGCTTGTTTTGAGTGTAATGTTTTACTTATTGTTTATCTAGGCAGCAACATGAAACTGTTCAGACATTTTGGAAACCTTACATAGGTATCAGTGTCTGATCCTTTAAGTATTATATGTTATTTTATATACTTTAATGTGTGGAGCATATTACATTGTGCCGTAATGTCAGGGAATTTTCGGGCAATTTATAGCCTCGGAATGTTTTGTTCACTTCAGACTAATACTCCTGTTCACTGAGGAAGGAAATAAATTGTGATCTCTTATGTGTGCGGGCACCATTTTTAAATGTTGTTAGTATGCATCGCTCTACTTAATTCAAAATGGTGGATACTTGGGCTAGTTGGTGGTTGCTATACTTAATTCATGGCATAAAGGAACCCCTCAGAAATTGGCACATGAAATGTACAATATAAGGACATTGGCAACTTTATGTCAAACAGGTTTGCTTGTTTCAGTTTTCTTTTGTGAGAAGTTGCACTAAGCCTCACTTACTTTTTGTGTACTTGTGCTTTTTTTTTTTCTCGCTTGAATTTGCATGTGCTCTCTGCCTGTGCCTGTGTGTGAGGCTTGGTCGCAGATGCCGGTAAGGCTTGATAATCTTTTTTATGCATGTGTCCTTTTCTGCATCTTTCTTCTCCTCCTGCTGTCATTTCTGCATATCACTTTGGTGTGTGCTTTTATATTTAGTAGTTTTTGCAGCTTGGGTTCATTGTGTGTGTGTCTATCTATACAGTGTGCTCCTTTTATCTCAAAACATTTCCATGCAAACATTCTGAGAAACTATTTAGAAAAGGAATTTTCATACATAAAACCTACCGTTAACTGGTTAGTGATAAAGACATTTGGAACAGTCTTGAAAAGCCATCGAGATAAATTCGGGGTATATTTAAAAATAGGTGACAGAGCACTTGTGAAGATGCTGTAACTCTACCAACACTGTTCTGTTTTTTTTTTTTTTTGTTTTTTTTAAACTTATTTTTGGTCAAATTAATTGAAGCACTACCAGGTTTTGCCTCTGGTAGCTCCAAAATGACACACTTGTGACTGTTAGTCACCAGACAAGTGCACAATCACATTTTGTTATAGAGCATGGGCATATTACTCTTTTTGTTGACAGGGTTTCATTGCCAGATCATTGTTAGAGCATTATTGTGGGGGGGAGGGGGGGAAGAGGGGAAGGGGAGGGGGGAAGGGGGGGAAGTGAGGCTTGTCATTTCCAAAACCATTGGTTATGTTTTTAACTTTTCTCGTGCTTTTAATTATAGCTTCCTTCCTTTCTGAAAGTGTTTTAGCACCATATTCCAGCAGAGTTTCAGGTGTCTACGATCCTTAGTTATGGAAAGCAATCTAGAAGCACTACAACAAACTTCGACAGCCTATCAAGAACCATCAATTGTTCACTGTCGATAGATTATCAATAGTATACTATTGATTGTTTTTCAATAATGTACTATTGATAGCATTTCAGTAGTCCACTGGTAGTTTCTCAACAGGTTTTCTACTTTTTTCTGATAGTTTTCCGATAGTCAGATTGTTCCTCGATAATTATGCAGAAGTCACTAATTGCAATTGCGTTTTCTCTAGAGTTAAGTGAGATTTCCTGAGAGGACTCCTGTCATTCTTTGTCACCTGTCAAAAGTGCTATTGGTTGCTTTACTGTAATAGACTATCATTAACACTGTATCGATAGCTTTTTTATAGTTTACTATCGACAGTTTTATTGTAGTCGGCTATCGATAGTTCTCCAATAGCCTGTGTCAGTAGTACTGTCGATAGTTTTACGGTAGTCAACCATTGATATTACTATCGATAGTTTTAGGGTAGTCAATTAGCACTAGTGTACTATCAATCATTTCATAGATAGATTCAGCTTTCCACTATCGGTAGTTTTGCACTTCTAGTAGTGGAGTACCAATGAGCTCACTGATTTCCTCACTCTTCACTCTCAGGGATAAGTTTTTTTTTTCTTTTTCACACCCCACTTCCCCTTTCTTTATTTTTCTATAAAGGCTAAAATGTTTTGGGGTTGAAGGGTCACCCTGTTTAGCTAAAAGAGAGGGTACACAGATGAGCTGGTTGGGAAATGACACATAACTTGCCCTTTGAGGTGGGGTCAACTATGCCTCTTGGCTATATATCTGTTTTCTGCTTCGGATTGTGCTCATTGTGTTTCTGTGCATGATGCAGCTTCTTTACATTTAGGGATGCTTGACTGAAGCCATTAACCTTCATTAGTAGTATTATGCATATAAAGAAAGTAAAGTGCACGAAAAATTAGTCTGGTTTCCTGACACAGTTTTGATCCTTTTTGTGTGTTGTACTAATATTAGTAGCTGTTTAAAGTTTTAAAGTGAAGGAGCGATTTTTTGTTTTTAAATTCATGCTGTTTTTTTTTTAATAATTTTCAAAGGACTCTGAAACTATTCATTATTTGTTTTCTTGAGAGAAGACCAAATTTTACTGTCTGCCAATCTTTTTTAGCTTTAATGAGCGACAACGCACAGTACAAAAAATAAAAAAAAGCTTTGGTATTTTACGACTAAAAGTGAATTTCTAAGTAAGTAAGGCTTTTGCATAATGTTGGAGATTTAATAAGCAATAATGCACTGTACGAAAAAAAAAAAAAAAAAAGCAGCTTTGGTATTTTAAGAGCAAAAGTGAATTTCTAAGTAAGGCTTTCGCACAATGTTTGCAGGGATCCCTTTCCGAGAGTTGTATCCCACCCTCTGCCATCATTTTATATTATTGCGAGGGCGTTAGGACGAGAAAAATTCAGTGACTATAGTAACTTACTGAGTGAGAACGGCAAGACATATCTTTTGAACGTTCGGCCTCCAGTACGCGCTCCACGCCTTCCGCCGTGCCTTCGCTGCGCGCGCGCTCGAAGTGCACGAGGTGTTGTAGCACTGCCGAAGTTTCGAAGCTCGTACTGGAGGCAGGACAACTGAAGCTCCTCCCTGCCGTCCTCACCTTGTCAGTGACTATGCAGGGTATAATTTGGCACGTGACTTCCACAAGCCACAGTGCCGCCGACTGTGGCCTGTGAATTACGAAATACAAAAGAGGAACCAAGAAGTTATGCAATGTTAGATGTCGTAGAGTAGACAGTTGGGCGAGTTGGTAGTTATTGAACATAGTTACAGTTGCGCACACAGGGACAAGGACAGAGAAAGGAACACGTAGACGACAGACAAGCGCACACTCACTATTCATGTATTAACGAAAGAAGAAAAGAAAGTGGTACAGAACGCGGAATCCGCTTGAGCGTTGGCCACACAGGCACGAGGGACCACAGGCCCGAAGGCTCGAGGGGGACACATAAAATTACCCACACGAAAAAGATTTTAAGAAGGCAAGAAGGCAAAAGATTTTTGAAGCTTTTATTATCCTAAGCATGGGCGAGCGATGTGTCAGCTTTCCGTCTGTTTCATTAACAGAGGAGGAAATTGCCTTCTTAAAATCTTTTTCGTATGGGTAATTTTACGTGTCCCCCTCGAGCCCTCGGGCCTGTGGTCCCTCGTGCCTCTGTGGCCAACGCTCAAGCGGATTACGCGTTCTGTATCACTTTCTTTTCTTCTTTTGTTAATACATGAGTTGTGAGTGTGCGCTTGTCTGTCGTCTACGTGTTCCTCTTCTCTGTCCTTGTCCCTGTGTGCGCAACTGTAACTATGTTTAATGTTAGATGTATTTGGTTTGTGTCAGAATTGCGTTCTAATTTGAGCATGTTCCGATTTAATTAGCTCTAACTAATTGAATGCCAATCTAAAGTTGATTATATAAAATTGGGGATGTTTTGGTCCCACGTGCCACTTTTAGAAGAAGAAAAAAAAAAAAAAAAAAACTCGGAGGAATTGCTTGTTTTTTTGTGCAGAACCTCGGAGCCCAACCTGTTCAGCAGCTTCAGGGAAGGAAGGTGTGTACCATTTTTAGCACTGAGGCTGCCATAGCCTTCCTTTGTACTTTCTGGTGTCTGCTTTGCTTTTGAGTCTGCAGAGACCGTCAGTCTTGATTCCTCTCATTTGTTTGAGCAATATCAAATGCCCAGATCACTCAACTTAGATTTTGGAGGCACCAGCAAGAGAGGGCACTCAAGTTACAGTGTTTCTATTTTAATACTAGGATAGCCTAGTAGCAGTACCTAGACAATGGATACTTTTCAAGTAAGGAGCACCATCTGGGATCTTGTCTGCTAGCTACGAACGAAGGGCAGCCCAAGGTTCCTCCACTTGTCATAACACATTGGCATTGTGCCGTGGTATCGGTTTTTATTGCTTTTTATGCCCCATGCTACCTGTGCTCAAAAAAGAATTTTCAAAAAAGACGAAGGACGTGCAGAGATAGGTGCTGACAACGTTGGTCGTGCATGAAGGTGCCCTTCGAAAAATGGCAACAACAGGAAGCAAGAGTTTGAGGAGAGAATGTAGGCATGTGCAAAAGCTTACTGGAAAAAGGCATTTGCTTAGGAGTACAGTGCAATCCCCTTATAACAATACCACATATAATGATGTACTGCTTATAACAATCAGTTTCTAGACTAGAAACAATCGGTTTCTAGCCTAGGTACAACGATGATCACTTATAACGATTGAAATTTTTTTTTTTTTATTATCGTTATAAGTGGATTGCCCTGTAGTGTTTTACATTACAAGCCTAAAAAGTGCATTGGCATTGTTTACATGAAAATTTCCAGCAGCATTCAAAAGTCATGTTGCAGTATTAATAAATCTGGGAAAGATAACCCTCTTCCTATTTTATAAATATTTTAACTAAAGCCAGATTTCGTAGAACACTGGAATTGTATTACGATGAGGCTGCAAAAGTATATTTCACTGCTATTTTGAGGTATAACCTGTCTAACAAAAAAAGGAAACCACAGGGTGGAGGACAAGAAAGAACCTGCAGACACAATGTCCTCGCATTGTACGTCATGAAATGTTTCTTGTCGAAACATTAATGAGTTTCATATAGAATGGTCATAGCCAACTTTATTTGCATTTGCTCCGAGGGGATTACAGTGTATTTGACTAGTACTCGCTTTCTGCCTGAAACAGTTTGGGTGCTCTCCTGAAAAGGCAGATGTTACATTGTCTGCTTGGCTCACCCCCACAGCCATGGTAAATTCCAAAAGGGCATCAGGCGTCTGCTGTTGTAATAACCAATTTGTCTCTTTTGTATTCTTGAGAGCCTCTTGAGTCCCCTCAGCAAATCCAAGTGACTGTTGGCGACCACAGTGCACCAAATAATGAGCTTGGAACGTGCCAGCGAGCGGCTTCTTTCTTGCCCCAGGGCAACACCAGCACCACCCAGATGGTGGGCACAGTTCTGCAGCAGGGCCAGCCAGGGATCAACATTGTGCCCACGGTTGCCAGCAGCACCCCAATTCAGACCATGGGCCAGCCAATGGCACCGCAGACTGTCACTGTCAAAGTACGTCTTCTGCCAATCCCTGCCTCGGGAAGGGTGAGGTGTGCCGGCCACTGAACCTTAATGGCATGGGATCAATCCTGAGCAAAAAGGTCATATTCCGACATAGATTGCAACAGTATCTGGCTATAGAAGAACTTGTAGTTGGCCTAGTTGGTGAACGTTGGAAAGCGTGGTGTAAGGCGCAATAAACAACGGACACTAGAGGGAAAACAGACATACAGGCGCCTGTATGTCTGTTTTCTCTCTTGTGTCCATTGTTTTTTGCGCCTTACACCATGAGTATCTGGCTACAAGGTAATGAACCTGTAAGTACAGTCAGCGGCTCTGTGGACTGTTACAACGAACTGTCTGGCCGCCTGCTGAGTTGCAGCAAGTCATTGAGTCTCTGACTGTATACCTGATGCTCAGTTTTCTTCAGGATGGGACATTTAGAAAATCACTCTTTACTCGTCTGGAAGCTCAATCATTGGAAGCAAATGGGCAGGGAAGTGTAGGAGGAAGGAAAGACAAAGGGATAGCAATGGTTAGATTGCTTAAGTGCAGTCACTCCCATTTTGGGTGTCGGACAGGGGTGTTTCTTTGTGTGTGCTCTAATGTGGATTACACACATTTTTCACATGCTCTTGCTTCCCGGCTTCTGTACCTGTTCAGTGTTGCCTACAAATAATGTTTGAATGCAGACATGTTTGTAAGCATTGTGTAAGGATATGTGTAGAAGTGTATTTGGAACCTTATTTTACTAAATGAGCAGATGTCTAGTAGATTAAGCTTGCAGCTTAGAAAGGCTATGTGCAAGTGTCGTTACATTTCTTTTACAGGTTTTTAATTTCTTCGTTTTGTACAAATGGAGATGTTGTATCATAGTGGTATAATATGGAAAATTAAAAGCTAGCCATTGATATATAGGTAGGTGAATTTCCAAATAGTAACTCCAAATTTCCAAATAGTAACCAGGTGTAGTTTGCAGAATGTGGAATGAGATGGAAGGTGGAACTATGATGACTAGATACGGTGCCTTGTGACCGCAAAATCCATTACAAGGATTTTATATAGAAAGTTATACAAGTTCCTTGATTGTTACCCAATTAGAACTGCTTTTCATATATAGACTGAAGTCAGTCACACCTCTCAGAACACCTTTCGGGAATGTACATTTCAAGGTGGCAACTACAACCAGCACATCAGTAACGCAGCCCCTGTCCATTCAGACCACAGTAGCCAACAGCCAGTCTGCTGCTACTACTCCATCTCAGGTGAGTGCCATGCCCATTTAAATACACATATGAATATATTTTCTTGCTTCTTGGCATTGTTTCTCTGTCAGTGGCTCTTAAAAAAGAACAGATATGTAAGCTAATTTTAACTTGATTTGGTACCAAGGAGTTTGCACATTAACCCTTTGACTGTCGAGTTTTTTTTCCCAAAAAATGTTTCTCGCTGTTTTTTTGTTTTTTTTCCATAGAAATAATATTAAAAAGGATCAGTGCACATGTTTTACAGCGGAGTTGTTAAGAGCTAGTTTTTCCAGGATTGTGTCCCCTGCAAAGAAATGTCGACACAAAACCCTGGTTGCCGCCGTCACTCATAGATGGTGGTAGCTGTCCAGAGTGTTGTGTTTGCCGGTTGTCCGCTTGCCGCTGTCGCTCATAGATGGTGCAACCTTTCCAGCCTTTCCACTCTGGCTTGCCGATTTGCGGCCAGCCATTACTTCCATAGTACAGCTTCGCTGGTCTTCCTTCTTCACCAAAGTGGAAAGGCTAAAAGTTTTTCTTAATTATTTAACGGGGGCACATACTGTGCTTGCATGCTGTTTAGGTTTAAAAGCATTTAATTAAAATATTGAAGGTCAAAAGATGTCACCTTTTTTACACGGTTTTATTTTGGCACTTCCATTTCCGCAACATTCTGGCGGCTTCAGATTCCGAACCGGAGGTATTTTAAGAGCTTCTCTGTCGGATGATGAGCTCTCATCCTCTGAATTTAATTCAGAAAGGCGTTGGAAGTCTGAATTGGAAGAGCCAGTGCTCACATTGGCACTACCGCCAGAGCAGCCGGTATGTGAAGTGAGCACCACGTGTGCGGAGCGTCGAATTCGAAAACTATAAATAGCCCAACAAAGTGAAACACTGTGTGAATATAATGTTTATAGTTCACCAAAGACATAACAAATAGCTACACCTTCCGCTGTGTGCTCAGTTTCGCGTTTAGGTGGGCACTTTCAAATGTGTTATCACCGCCGTACGTGTACGGTGACAACCGTCAAAAGGTTGAATACCACTTTGTGATAGGTCAGTTTATAGATTTTTCTGAATTACTCCTGGGGCGAAGTAACCATTACTTGCAGCACAATTTTCAGTGTATTAGCCATCCCTCAGTGACTGCGGGTGTGGCTGCAGGCACGCTTGCATTCATTTTGACACATAACTCTTCTCCACTTTCTTCAGATGTCGCCAAACACTGCCAAGAAAAAATGCAAGAACTTCTTGTCCACGTTGATACGACTGGCCAGCGACCAGCCCGAACAAGTGGCATCGAACGTCAAGGGCCTCATTCAAGGGCTCATTGTAAGAGTCAATTTTTGTCAGATCCTAGCCTCTTGTGTTTTCAGTAGCAATCCATGTAGGGATGCATTCTGACACTCGCTCATTTCCCAGGATGGAACAATTCAGCCTGAAGACTTCACGAACCAGCTTCAGAAAGAGCTTAACTCTTCACCACAGCCATGCCTTGTACCTTTTCTAAAAGTAAGCTACTACGGGGGTTACGTGCAATTTGTTTGCAGCATGCTCACGATTCCTCACTCGGTGGTTTCAGAAAAGCCTTCCATACTTGCGGCACTCCCTGATGACCAAGGAGCTGACTATTGAAGGGGTGCGGCCGCCTCCACAGGGTGCAGTCACGCTCCCGTCGACGCCTGCCATCATCCCAAACATTCAGGTAGGGAGAGGCTTGAGGGTTTCCTCAGAAATGCGTTGTTCCACTTGGAGGCCTAATTTTGCGCAGAAACAGTTGGAAAACATTTGGGGTGGCTCGACCGGAATATATATAAGGCCACCAATAGAATGGTCTTATTTCCATGTGTTCTTACTGGAAGCTTGCAAAACACTAAACACTAGAACATAAAGTTTGTGTCTACATAGGTGTTGCTCATTCCCAGGTCTATTTTGTCCTCGGTGCTTTGAGCGATGGAGCGAGACAGCTCTGTTCTCCAAGGAGGATTCCCACCTAAGGGTGTTTTTCTAAGTGAAGTGGCGTTGGAACAGGTGGGGAAGGGGGCAGGGCAGGCAATCCCCCCCCCCCCCCCCCCCCCCCCCCCAAGATATTAAAAAAAAAAAAAAGTTAATGTACACAATAGCGGGGAGGGAACAGAAAACCACTCTTGCTCCCCCATCCCCATCTCCGATATACAGTCGCCGACCGATTTTTCGGACTTGCAGGGACTGAAAAAACGTCCGAATAATAGAGCAGTCTGAAAAATCAGCAGATTAGAAAACTTGCCTTTATTATGTCTATAAGCGGGCTTTAAAAAGTCGTAAATAGTGCCTTGCTTCAGGTTAGGCCTACGCACCTTGTTTTAGGTTAAGCCTCCGTTTGCATTGGGCAACTTTCTGTTAGCTTGAGAATCGCTGCCTTCTTTTCTAGCGTTATGGTTGAGTACTTTTCGCGCTTCTTAGCGACACATCGTGGTGGTGGAAGAACAGATGGGCAATGATGTCCAAGCCAGCGTAGTCCGAAAACACGATTCACTGAGACGAGATCGAGATGAGAGGCGCAAGTCCATGACTGCAATGGCGAATGAACAAAGCAAAATAAAAACAACAATGATGATGATAATGATGTGTGACTGGAGAAAAAAAAAATGACCGCATGTCCATGTGGTGAATGATGTTGATTGGGGCGAAGCTCTGGTGGTGCTGACGATACTGATTTTATTGTTCATAGGTAGTGCTGAGCTCCGGGTTGCGTTTCGACTTCATTATTACTGCTTTATGGTTGGTGAAATGCAGAGCCAGTGGTTCTTCTAGCGGATCAGCTGGGATCCGCTAGAAGCCGTGGGAACGCATCTCCACCGCTTAAGTCAATGGTCCATGTCAGAAAGAGAATGTGTGGTATGGAACGTGGTTATATACGCATTTGAGCATTTGACCGCAGCGCCCTCTCGTCTATAAACATTGAGCCAATGCATGCAAAGTTTAACGAGATGATATACGCATTTGACCGCAGTGCCCTCTCCTGTATAGACGTTGAGCGGCTACATGTAACGTTTCATCCATGACAGAAACCCCAGCTCTTGAGTTACTACATCTCAAAGCCCCCTACTCGTCTCGCAGTCGTGGGCGAGTGGTTAAGGTGATGGACTAGAAATCCATTGGGGTCTCCCCGCACAGGTTCGAATCCTGTCGACAGCACAAACATTTTTTCTTTTTATGTGAGCACAGACCCAGGACGGACGGATGGACGGACGGACGAGGCTAGATTCCAAGAAGCTTCGCCCCTAAAAATTCCAAAGACACCTAAGCACTTCTTATGAGTTGTGAATGTGAAAGCATGAATGTCCGACGATGTGGATGCTAGAGGCGGCGCCATGTTCGTTAGCGTCGAGACGAGCAGAAGCACCGCCGACGATGTAAATCATGGAGGCGACGGCATGTTGGTCGACGGCGAGACGAGCAGAAGCCTCCGAGCGCGCGCAAACATGTCCCTTTTAAGGGGGCACACCCCCTAGGGGGGTAAACTTTTGAACCCTTGTCTTAAAATTAATGAAATTTACAGGGTAGGCTGGTGGTCATGCTAGAGGGTGTATAACAGAATTTCAGGTCTGTCGGTTAAAAGAGAAGGAAATAAGAGTAACTTTTATCAGCAACACGCCTGCGTTTAGTTAATCTATCGTCAGAAAACTATTGCGATATTAAAGATTTTTATTTGCTAGATATGTAGCAGAATGCCTAGAGGGTGCGGCTATTTAACATTTTTTCTAAAAAGTAATCCATTTTTATAAATTTTCTTTTCTGCAAAATTGGTCAACTTTTTTGTCTTCTGTGCCTTCGACAAAATGCCAACATTTTTTACAAAAGACATCCGTAAAGTGACAAAAAAGTTCCATAGCCGCATTCCTTATTAAATTTCAGTCAGGAAAAGGGAAGAATGAGCTTTTCTTGTTTTGCCATTATCAAACGATAGATTGACTGAAATGGAATTTATACCAAAAAGTGGAACGGAGAAAAAGGTGTTCAAAGTGCTCCAAACCCTACCTTTTCTATAGCTTTGGTGGACAGAAAATAATTTATAAAAAATTAACTATACAGTGAAAATTAATGAAACTTTTTGGGAATACTCTCTAGATGTTGGTGGATGTAAAGATGCCATTTTTCAAAATCAACTTTTTTTGCAGAAATTTTTTTTTCTGGGCAGTGTCTCCCCTTAACCGGTGCGGGGCCCGTAGTGACATGGGGTTGCGGCGGTTAGTTTTATCGGCATGCTGGCTGCTCGGACACGCAGTGCCATCTGGTGGCAATCGTTGAAACTGACGTGCGCAGCGGCCAATGGGAGCCCCGTCGTTGTGCACGAGCCAATGGAACCTTTGGGATCAGGGAAACTAGGTGCCGTTTTTGCGCTTCAAACTGATGACGTCAGGTCACTCCATGGGACCCCCCCCAATTAATGCTTTCTCATTAAAAAGCTGTTCAGCGTCACCTAGCAGTAGGACTTAGCAGTATTTAAGTAGTGCTGCCAAACCAAGCTAATCCATATGCAGCCAACATAGATTCCAAAATTGCCGCTTTTCAGTGGTGTTTCCCGCTGATGCGACGATTTTGTTCGAAAAACCGAACTTTCGGATTTCAGGCTGTCCGAAACATCAGTCGTGAATGTGCACTATTTTTATCGGGTAGGTCACGGTTCCTCCTTTAGGTCTGAAATATCAAACAAGTCCGAATTATTGGCGTCCGAAAAATCAGTCGGCGACTGTAGTTCTGACGCCTCTGACAATGTGCCTGTGCTGGTGAAGGGATATGGGTAGTTCGTGGCTTTTGGAATATCAAATAAAGGCAGCCCAATGCAGAAATAGTTTTTCATAAATTAATTTATGTCTAAAAAAAAAAGAAAAAACGGGAAGAGGGAAAAAGAATTTGAAGGAGAATGAAACGAGAGAAGTTTGCGAGGGAACATCCCCCCACCCCCCCCCCACCTTGTTCCGTTTACGGGGTATTGAAACTGTTTTCAGGAAAGGGTTGTACAAAGTGCAGTAGGACAAGGAATCCCTATTGGTTAGAGGAATGGTACTATATTTTTTTACTTGGATATTGCCATTATCATATTGGTAACGAATGGGTCATGCTTGTAGTCAGCCCATTGCTTTTTCTCTTTTTGTTTAAAGAGTTATCCTGGGTAACAAAATATTCATAATCCCTTCCCGAATCTTGTTTGCATTTATTGTATGATTATGGGCAGATACTACTTCGTCAGCATTTTATGGCACAACCGGGGTGTGGCTACCCGTGGTCATAGACCAGAGCGCAACCATCCAGCCGGCGTGCGTCCCTGACAGCTCGACAACATCTCAATGTGGGCGCCTGTGTACACTCTTTTTTCGCAGCAAGTGGCGGGGGTGACCCGTCCAGCCATGCCCCATGCAGCCACCCAGGTGCGGGTGATGACTCCTGTGACGGGAGGCTTGGCGGCTCAGCTCGCAGGGCCTGTGGGACTCCAGGGTGTGTTGGCGCAGCATCAGAGACTCGTCACGGTAACTGCCTCCCACCCTCCCTTCGTCGCTTTCCGGTGCTTTTTTACTGGAACAGGAGAACTCCGACACTGTGTGCTATTTGTAGTTTCTCCCAAAGATGAGTATAAGCCTGTTTTTCTCAGCCAGGTGGTGTCGTAGCATCTGCAAGACGCAACCACGAAAGATGTGCTGTAGCTTCCACCAGCGTCCGCGAGGCATGACCATTTAAAGCCAACATAAAACGGTGTCTGGTGTCCAATTGTGCATTCCACTGACATCTGCAAGCACTTGTCAGCGTCTGTCCATGCGTGGAAACAGAGCATATGAAAGAACTAAACATTTGTTTTAATCAACGAAAGAACAGTGCTACTTCACCTTTAGCATCCTATCAAAATGCTATGATGATTGCCTTTAAACTTTTTTGTTTGTTTTTGTTTTCTTTCAGAAATTCATATCAATGTGGGCAAGCCTCGTGGCACACAATCGAAAAGCGATCTAACAATCTCCAATTTTGTTTGCCAGGGCACAGCTCAAAACTTGAGAGCTACTGCCTAGTGCCATTATAAACGGGAAAAAGAAACAGTTTCGTTATTACTGAAAGGGCTCAGCCGAAGAGTTACTTCGAGTTCTTTACAATTTTTTTAAAGATGGGAATGTGTTGCTTGTGCCAACAAACAAACGCTGGTTTTCTCGGCTCTCTAGAAATGGCCGTCGAGAAGCTTCGGGCGATAAAGCTTCCAGAGAGGTTTGTCTGCTAGCTTCTAAACAATGTTACAAAAGTGTTGTGACGCGCCGCAGCCACGACCCACGACAACGGTGGTGGGGCCAGGGACCAAGAGCCTGCTGGTTGCCAAGACGACCAACCTGACAACGGCGCTGTCTCCAGCCACGATGGGGACCATTCAGACCAAGGCAGCCACTCCGATCGTGGCCAGGACCCCCGTGACGGCGCTGAAGGAAAAACGCACTTACTCCTCGCTCAGGTACTTCAGCCCTATGGAACAGTCCAGTGTTTGGCGAGTGCCGTTTGTGAAAACGCTGCTTTGTCACTTCTCAAAACCGTTCTTGTTGTGTCGGGGGGTGAATGAAGACGGCTGGTGGCGCAGCACTCTCCGGCAACCGTGTTGCCGTGTTGCGGGAATTTTAAAATAGCCTTTTGCGTGTCATTGGCATTGTTTCCAATGTTGTTCGAGGAGAAATGTTCCGGGGTCAGGGTCGGTGATGTTGTCTTGAGAAAGAGACACCAAGGGGTCAGGAAAGACGAAGACATTGGTCGATGTCAGTTTTTAAGGCTGATGTTGATTCTCTTCTAAACTTTTTTTTTTTTAGTTCACATTTTCATTTCTCAGAAAGATAGTCTTGCCCCAGTGTTTGTGCTGAAAGTAAGTACAATTATTTGTGGCAGCGAGAGTGTGCAACAGAGTAAGTTTAGGACAAGGAGGGTAGAGAACTATGCTAGAACATTAGGTGAGTGAGGGTATTTGCATCTAAGTCAGGTGATTGTGCTCTGCTTAGTAGAACATTTTTAATTTTTCTTCTAAAGTGTTACATTTGAGAATTTTTTTTTTATTGCATGACAGAAATGTGTGCATTTTTGTTCCAGTTGGTGACCACTAGGCATCACCTTTCTAAAGCATTATTGAAGACAATTTATATGTCATAGTTTCCTGGGAGATGGCCAGCACGGAAAGATAGCCAGCACGGAAAGATAGCCCATGCCTAAACATTGCGTTACTGGGTTGATGTGATTTGTGCACCGGGCCAGACAGTATGAGTTTTGAAACAATAGCTACTTCCTTTGACAATTCAGAAGGCAGTTGACTAAACAATGAAGTTCTTTCTTTGTCAACTAATTCAATGCTCATGGTGTGGTCTACGGTAGCTGATGTAAGCATTAGTGGACAAGGAGGCTAGTATAGAATTATTCGGTGAGGAGGTGGGAGAAGAGGGAAGGGAAGGGGAGGGGAGGGGAGGGGAGGGGAGGGGAAGGGGAAGGGAGATAGACAAAACAAAGTGGTCTATCGAGATCTTTTTTTTTTTCATTCTTAATATTTTTTTAAGAACCCAATGCCGAAGTCATGACGCCCGAATTGCAATTTGCAGGGATGACGACGACATCAACGACGTCGCTGCCATGGGTGGAGTGAACTTAGTGGAAGAAAGTCAGAGAATCCTTGCATCGAACGCTGAGATTGTGGGCACTCAGATACGGTCGTGCAAGGATGAAAACTTTCTCTTCACAAACCCCCTGCAGAGGAGGATCACAAGTGTAGGTGAGACCCAGCATGACCCTTTGTTTGTGGTTCTGGCTCTCATGCGGGTCATTGGGGCCTCCGGGCCTTTCAGCCGTCAAGTATGGCATCGAAGAGATCCCGTCCGATGTGGTTGCCCTCATCTCCCACGCCACGCAAGAGCGGTTAAAATCGCTGGTTCAGAAGCTGGGAATCGTTGCTGAGCACCGGCTGGAAAACATCAAGGTGAGGAGAACTGCGCCGGTCTTGGCCGAGTGCTTTAATATCCCGGCTTGGTGCCTCTAATTTGTCAAGAAACTGGGGTGTGTGATGCCTACTAGGTGTCCGAGTGTAAAGGGTAGGGAAAAGTCTTGAATACGCCCATTTTCTACCCGTATCTATCATGGTTGGACAAGATATATGCAAAACGAAAGACATGCCCGACACGCTTGTGAAACACGGTGCTTCTAGCACCCTGTTTTACCTCACTGCTGCGCAAGATAAACCATGGTTTGTCACTTGCGCACACGTCAAAAGCGGTGCGGAGTGTTGTATAGTATTTGGAGGGTCGTGGCTGGATATCCTCGTGCATATCCTTGTTGTCTTGTTCAGAGCTCTGAATCTGAAACCAGTGAAAACATGCGATTGAACAAAAAGGAAAAATGTTTCAGCACTAATGCTGCATAAACATTTTCTGATGCCAGTCGTTCATTTAACTTGGTGTCTTCAGAGCCATCAAGGGCAGTCAAAAAGCTACACTGCTTGCCGTCCACAATGACGTGACGTCCAGTTGCATTCGCGTTCAGTCCTGGTTTTGGTACGATGGCCTTGACTTCCTTTACCGTATTCCTCATTGCGCCCAGTCAATCGGCAGAGAGGAGGTCGGTAGCAATCACATCCATCAAAATGTACAGAGAAGAAGCAGACACAAGGTGGGCAAATACTCACGTTAATTCCTCCAGCTTTTTGGATCTTTCTATTCACTGAAACATGTTCTAGAATCAGTACATTATATAAAAGGGCATTACAATTTGTCTACCTTCAGTAAATACCATTCAGAGTTATTCCTTGACATTCATAACCTAGAAACACACTTTAATTTCTTTCTCTATGCAGTGGCAGTTGCAGAAAAAAATTTGAGAAAAAAATGAGCATCGTTCACCCCCTCAACTTGTGCCGGAACAAGCGGCCCCTGATCTGGAGCCTATTATATGGCCCTAATGTTTATCATAGCCATGCGCTAGGGTTGGTAAAGCACAGGGCATGTGCTGAGTTCCACACATTGTTAAAATTCGGCTATTCCTGGCATTTCAGCAATGGGACACGAGCTGCTACCTGAACTCATGTCGAGGCATTGATTGTCACAAGCCCAAATCGAATGCTCGCGCAGGGCTCGTGTTCATTGCATGAACTGCGTTTATATACAGGGTCATCGAGATGAATTTGGACTTTCTCCAGATTTTGTCTCTTAACAATACAGTGAAGCTAACCGGTCGTATTGCACTTCTGCGGCCATGTGAATCGACAGCAGACCATCGCATTATAAACAGTTCGCGACTTGCTCAAAGATTAGTGGGGAATACGACCGGAGGGCAGCAATACTTGAATCGCTTCACGCCGTAAAGTCGCCTAAGCAAATCATTGCATGGTATGGCTACAAGAAGACGCAAGTTCACAGCATTGCCAAGACATTCAGATAATCTGTCAGCCAGGAAGACGTTGCAGCAGACCAAGCAAAGCACTGAAAGTGGTTGATATTCATTTTATCTTTGCCTCTTTGTGTTTTCCTGAATATAGTGAATTTTACGGATTCATTTCGATGACCCTGTATATTGTCTCCGTAGGGATTGCAAAGCTTGATAACAAAATCCTGGGGATCTCATTGTTGACAACGCCAACAATGCAATCCCCATAGATTCGTCATCAAGTTTAGCAAAGGAGAGGCTGAAAGAAGACGTCCACTTTTATCTTTAAAATAAGCGGCGAAAAAGAAGCCTCTTGGTCAGTGGCATTGCGTGAGACTATACTTGGGTCCCACTAGTTTCAGTAAGCTTGTGTAAAGTGAGAAACATTCCTACCCAATTACGTTGCATAGCCCCTTTAAATCTAGTGGCTGTCTGTTAGCCGGCTGAATGCCGTAGTATGTTTTGATATTTTTTCAAGAACTTATTTTATGATGCTACACAATTCTTTTGGTTGAGAAGGTGTCTTGGAATCTTTCAGAGTGACTCTCGGTACGAAGTGACCCAAGACGTCAAAGCACAGCTCAAGTTTCTGGAGGAATTGGATAGGTTAGAGAAGAAAAGGCACGAAGAGCAAGAGCGTGAAATCCTTCTTCGAGCTGCAAAGGTAAGCTTGACTTATCAAACCTCGAGCTACTTTGTGTCCCAGTAAAGGGAAGCAGGCAATTTAGTATAGGCATTCTTAGGACACCACCTTGCTTGGAGTTTAAGAATGTCCTTTCAGACCAGAGTTAAGAATTGTTTTCTTTAGGTGTGCCAAGGACCTGCAGGTACTTTCCTAAACTGCCATGGATTAAATTTGAAAAGATAATGAATGGAGGGTTTGATGCGAGTGTTAAATTTTGGTTTAGTGTGTATTTGTTGGTAAATGACAAATTTTTGTTATAGTAGTTAATTTATTTTTGTTGGTATAGTAGTAAATACTCCAAACGTGACAGGTCATACCTCAGTCATTTGTCTTGAAGAGCACAGAACAAGAAATAATTAATTGGGTCTGGAAAAATATACTTGTTAGCACAAACAAGCGAATGCTTTTTTTTTTTTTTCCTCAAAGGGTGATGCAGTAAACCACGTTGCCAACTGATTACAAGAGGTTTGATGGTGGGAAAAGCGTACTTAGCTCATTCACTGAGAAGTGTGAAAAAATGCTCTACATACTCTGTTCAAGACAACCTGCGTGACCTGAAAATCTGTACCACTTGTGACTTCGCACCATTGGTGCGAAGTCACACATGTTGGTTTTGGGCTATTTTGAAATTCGAGACAATGAATAGCATACAGCAAAGACTAAAGTCCGGGTATTCAAAAAATGCAGTTTGTTTCGGTTGCTCAAAAAACAGCCAGAGTACCCCCTTAAAATTAAATTGCTCGCTACAAGCGTAACAGAAAGTCCCCATAGGAAAGTCTCCAAAGAAAAAGAAAGTCACCATTTACCGCTTGGGCAGTAACCTAAAGCATTGAATTTTGTCCGTCTATATTCTGTCCGAGTAAAATGCGGAAAAGTGCCAGTGTTTTATTTGTGCACAGTCTACATCATGATTGTGACTTTGTTTGAGTTTTGATATTGTAGTTACCATTCAGGTAATAGTAGTAGTACCATGGAAGAATTGTATCAGATTGGATAGGTGCTACATATTTTCTTTTTTTGGGCTTCTAATCGAGAATTTTGAAAGGGATGTTTTGTTTGCTTGCTTTTCCACAGAGCCGCTCAAAAATGGAGGACCCAGAGCAGCTGAAACTAAAACAGAAGGCAAAAGAGGTGAACATGCATGCTTTTAGGAAGGTTGGCCAGGCCTTCTAAGTTCCCCTTTTTGTTTTTTGGACGGGAAGCAATGTTTTTAGAGCTCTTGCACATCGCCCTTCGGCAGTTACATTCGCTTCGAATTAAGAAAATAAAACCAGCATGGTTTATCATGACATTGAAATACAAGTTAAAGACTATCTAAAAAAAAAAAAAAAATGTGGAAGGTAAAGAAGAGCAAATGTAATTAAAGGCTGATTTGCGGCAGCATCAGCGACACCATTCTCCTGTCGCAGGAGAACTGTCATAATAAAAGGAAGGGATTGACAACAGCCGAAGCACCGCAAGGGTGAAAAGAAAAACTTGATTTAATAGAATCGCCCTGGCGAGACAGCTGGGCTTCTTGTAGGGCGATCCAGTGACAAACAGTTGCATAATTTTTCTTCATGCGGTTCCTGGGTTTCTATCAGCCGCTGGTACATGTTCTTTGGTAATCTGTCGGTTGCAGAATTACTACAGTAGAACCTCGTTGATATGTTTTGAAGAAACCGTGAGAAAAGAAAAACTTATTACCCGGGAAAACGTACAATCCAAACTTACCATTTCTAAACACACACACACACACACACAAAAAACAAGCAAAAAAATCAGTAGTTTAAAAAAGCATTTCTGCGATGGCGTCACGAAAGCGACGCCATCGCAGAGTGAAACGAGCCTACACGGCACAGGAAAAATGGTGAAATGGGATGGCACTGGCTTGGGGCGGAACGCGAAACCAAAGCTGCCAAAGCGTTGGCGAAACTTGATAAAGGAACCAGAGCTGAACCAATGCAAAGATAGAAACAAAGAAATGCCAGATTCATTCATTTACTGCTTTTCTACTACTCCCTTGTGCGTCCTAATCTAGAGTTGCTCTGCGCACTCTTGCAGTCGATGCTTTCAACCCTCCGAACAATGCCTCAAACTGCTTGCTGGAGTTATCAAGAGTGACCCATAATCATGTGTCTACTTTGGAAATGCTTGAAAAGCCATAAGCGAGCGGACTGCTCCGGTGTTGACAACTGAAGTGAACATGCGCTCGCACGGGTGAAGCTCGATTGGTAGATAGCTGTATTTGGGTTTGATCTTTATGCTACTGCTTTGGCTACTTCGGTTGCTCGCTACGACAGCATTCGTGCCACTTTCGCCAGTGTTAGCACTTGAAGAGAGGAAAATGAATGACAGCATCAGATGGACGCGTTGTTGTCCATCTGATGCTGCAGTTAGTACGCCGACGAAGCGGTGCGGACGCTAACCGCCAACAGCCGAGAACGCTGGCGAAGAGTGCCGAGGTTCTCGCCCAAGCCGCCCGAGTTGCAATCAAGATGCGTAAAGTATGTACTTAAAATCCTTTGTTAATATCTTATGGGAAGGATTTTTTGACTAATCAAATAATGAGCTCAGACAGTAAAACTGCGCTGTGTGTTTTGTAATCCCAATCAAAACGCCCCTGAGCACCTGGAGGGCTTTCGGAAATTGCGGCAAACAATAGGCGCTGCGGTGAGGTTATCAGCGGGCTGACCCGCAGACCGCTCTGCATGTGTGCGCCGAGTCGTATACCCCAGAGGACGGCTGCTTGGCGCTCGTTCGTTGAGACCGGATGTTCGGAGCTCCGAATATGCGAGTGCAAAGTTGATAGCCGAGAAACGTATAACCCGATCGATATTTGGTGGAATGTTGAGCATACTTTTCGGGAAATAGTGTTATCCGAGAGCATATGAACTGGAAAAAAAAACAGCGCAACTCTTTAGACGTTTCCCGTGCCCTTACTCTTGAATATGAGCCGGGACGTATCAATGAGGTTCTACTGTACTTTGGGGAACCAAACTACATCTTTGTATACCTTCACACTTTCAAGGGATCCAGGGATGCTAATTTGTAAGTGTGCATCGGTTTCACATAACTAATTGAAGTAATCTCCTAATGTTTGCTTTTTGTTTTTCATTGCCACAGTAAAAATTAAATTTATAATTCATTTTTCTCATTAAAATGCTTCGTACAGATTCAAGGCATTCTTAGTTTGATACATTTCAATTCATAGTAGTACTGACTGCATAGAGCAACTGGATGGGTGCCCGAAGAAGTTGCATAATGTTGCGCATTGAAAATATCAGCCGTTGAAAACACTGGGTATGCACATCAGATAACCACAAAAATTGGTCAAATGATTGCAGATACCATTTTGAACACTCGAGTTCTGTAACGCTGTGCACAATCGTACGAATTCCTAGCTTCATGTGGCCTTGCATTTTCTTTGGAGGGGTACCCGCCTATCGGCACCCCTCGGAGTGGCACGTTCTGTATTAAAAACAGTGCACATTGAATGTATTAGGAAGATTTGGTAATGAATAGAAGTACCCTGGCTATTCAGGCAGGCGATTACTATAAACAGTGTTTTTTTTTCTTTTTGCGTGTGTTTCTTAATTACTGCAAATTTTTTTGGTAGCATAACTGTTTCTCCTAAAAGTTAGTTGGTCCATCATGGTTAATGCATAGCTCATAGGAAATTGGTCATGAACCCAGCAGATGTATGAAACAAAGTGGTTTATAGTACAAAATGCCGAAAGTAATTGTAATGTTTGAATTTTTAGGATGCTTAGGGCCCGTAGAATCAGTTATGTCCAAGAACAGACGATCGCAGAATCCTCTTTAGTGCCCCTTTAAAGAACCTTGCATGCTTGTGAAGAAACTTGATATGCACTGTCATTTTCTTTTTTCCCCAGATGCAAAAAGCAGAAATGGAGGAGATGAGGCAAAGAGAAGCGAACATGACTGCCCTTCTGGCCATCGGCCCCCGGAAAAAGTTGAAGACGGACAACAGTGCAGGCGCTGGGGTGAGCAGCCATTCACATTTTCACTCGTATCTTGCTGGACTGGGAAGGGGGACGAATTGGCACCACATTTTATTTGCTTTCAACTCCAAACAAACAAATAACATCAAGCATCCAAAGTGCACTCGCGTACGATATGAAAAAGCCCAGACGAGCGCGTGGCTTGCAAGGCTTGCCGAGCTATCTATCAAAATGAAGCCTAACCATTACCGAGGCTTCAGCAGCTGTTCAATTTTTGTCGTCACTCTCCACTTGACAAGTTGTTGCCGAGTTAATGTTCAAAATGTCAACATATTTTATAAAAGACATTCGTGAAGTGCCGAAAAAATTCCATAGCCGCATTTCTTAATAAATTTCAGTCACGAAAAGTGAAGAACGAGCCTTCCCTGTATTGCCATTATCAAACGATAGAGTGACTAAAATGGAATTTTATACCAAAAAGTGGAACGGAGAAAAATGCGTTCAAAGTGCTCCAAACCCTACCTTTTCTTTAGCTTTGGTGGACAGAAAATAATTTATTACAAATTAAATAAGCAGTGTAAACTAGTGAAAATTTCTAGATGTTGGTGGATGGTAAATATGTCATTTTTCAAAATCAACTTTTTTTGCAGAAATATTTTTTTCTAGGGAGTGTCTCCCCTTAAAGGGGCCCTGCAAGCACTTTTTTTATTGGTTTTAATTTGCACCGAACCTGAGCGCACTGACCGTAATAACTTAATGAAACCTTTCTTTTCTCGAATTTCACTTTATTTTAAAAGTTATAGGCAAATCAAAATTACAAAATCAAGCAAAAAATAACCTCCCTCATGACGTCCTTGGTTGCTTGAGTGGCCGTGAACTAGAGGAGGGGTAGTAGGCTCATCGCGAGCGCTCACGGCTGCCGCACTCTGTGTCGACGGCGCGAGAGGGCGCCACTGAAGCGTGTTCTGGATAGGCTGTATACAGCGGGCTGCCAGAGCGGCTCTCATTGCATTTGCTGCACGATTAAACACTAATTCGGCATGACACTTCATTGGCCACAAACGACAGCAAACACGGTGTGAAGATCAGTTCAGAACGGGAGCCACTTCTCGCTGCCGTACCGCGAAACGGCCAAAACGCCAGACAAAGCTGCTCGCTGAAGGCCTTGGGAGCGCTCGGAGCCGGTCGGATCCTCCAGTCCGTAAACGACCGCAGCACCGCCGCATTCATCCGGGACCTTTCCGTGTCGGCGCCTGATCCCGCTACTCGTTTCTAGTATGCGCTGCCTTTTCCACCGCTTGGTGGCAAGTATGTCGACGGGTCATTTCTTGTTTCCGTACTTTATAAACTGCATTTGTTTCTTTTCTGATCTAAAATACTGAACAAAAACTACTTTTATAAATAATTGAAATGGTTCGTGCCACTTATATTTTGTATTTCGACTAAAAAAAAAGCTTTTAGCGGCTCGGACCAGTAGTAAGCCCAGGACCAAAGACATCACATTTCGCGCGCTTTCGGTACTGCGGGTCGCCCCCGTAGGTGGAGGAGGTTTCCGCGTCGTCCGGTTAAAATATGATGCACTGATATTTAGTTACTCTCTCCGTGCCCGCTGGCTTGCCCGAACCCCAGGAGACGTGGAAACCTCAAAAAAGGTAAACGCTTAAATATGATGGCAGGGCCCCTTTAAACCAGCAGGCGACAGTTTAAAAGATCAGATGGCCATTTGAACGTTAAGATGCACTGAACAGGGTCCGCGGGTGGTCCGGACATTTCGACAGTTTTCCCGCGTTCATGTTTGAATAAAACGTATAAATCTGACGACCAGAAATACCCGTGAATTCAACCCAAAGTGCTTCCCACACAAGCAGTCATGGTCCGACGGCGTCTGGTTTTCCCTTTTCACGGCACCTATTTGTGGTGTACCGGTTAATTTGGGATAATGCAGGATATATTTATTTGACTGATAGGTTACAATCGATTGAGAATCGTCTTGTTTGGTCTGCGACCGCACCCAGTCTGCTCCTTTCCAGGCGTCACATTCTTCTTTGTGGCTCGCTCTCCCCGCCGGTGTCTCTGGTTGCATCAGCCCTCTGTTACCTAGGCTATAGGTCGTATTCACTATGCGTGGCAAACATGCACACAATACTACACGGCAAGCTTCATGTTTTCACAGGCCCAACCGCGTAGGTGGCTGGCGCGTCCGTGTTGATCTTTTGAGAAGAGGAGGGCTGCCCTCCTTGCCTTGGTCACGTGTGCCATTAAGCGGTGTGGCTGGTGAGCTTGAAGTGCTTGCCTCCGGTGTTGCAGGATCGTTTTGACTCTCTTGAACCGTAGTTCGAAAGTCGTCACTGCAATTCGGAGACGGTGAACCGTTTCGCTGACTGAAGCCACGGGAAGGGGCAAACATTTTCTATGTTTTTGCGGCCTTGAGGCTATCGCCTTGATTCGGAGATATTCCCTCTTCCTCCTTGGGTACATGTCTCAGCTGTTCAATGTGCTGTTTCCAGGTATTTCCGCCGTTTGTGCGATTCTCATGTGTTCGGTTCCCTAGAACTCGGCCGACGACACCTTTCGACCATTTCTTACCGTTCCTGTAGCCTTGCCCATCTTGCCCAGATCTGGTCGTTTTGATGTAAGTGTTGTTCTTTAGAGTAGCGCGAGGTGTGCTGCTTCGCCTGTTTTGATCGCACGACATCCGTTATTGATGGTCTAGGAAAATTGAACCTTGTGCAAAATTCGTCTCCTGTCGTCATTTTGGCAGGTGTTGAGCCAGTTGTCGTGTGCGGGGTCGTCCGGTATGCCACCAAGAAGTTATGGCATGCCTCTTCCATGCTCAGCCCCGACTTCAGGCTTGCGTTGACTGACTTCTTGAATGTTCTTACAAAGTTTTCTGCCGCACTATTTGTTGCAGAATGGTTCCTGGGTGAAAATGACTGCTGGAATCAGTTTGTCATGAAATCCCGGAATTTGCTTGACTGGAATTGTGGACCATTGTCTGTCAAAATCCTTTCTGGCAGCCCATATCTTGCAAAGAGGGTTAGAAACACTCTTATGGTGGCTGCCGAAATCGTCGAGGTCATGGGCACTACCTCGGGCCACTTCAAATGTGCATCAATGATCAGCAAGAAATTCCTTCCTTGAAAGGGTCCTGCGAATTCTGCATGCAGGCGTTGCCATTTCTTTTTTGGGTATTCCCACGGGTGTATGGGAACTTTGAGTGCCTCTTTGCTCACTTCCTGGCACGGCCGACAGCTTCGGACCATCGTTTCGATGTCATGATCCTAAAGCGGCCACCACAAGTAGTGACGTGCCAGTCCTTTCATCTTTGTCATTCCCGCATGACCTTGATGCAAGACGTTCAAAACATGTTTTCAGTACCTCGAGGGTATGATGATGCGTTTTCCCCACATAAAGCAGTTGAGCTCCACGGTTAGTTCCGTTCTGCAACAGAAGTAAGGCTTGAGGTCATTGGAATTCACTTGTTCTGGCCATCCATCCATGGTGAGTCTTAAAACTTTAGACAACACGGTGTCCTTTTGTGTCTCTCTGCTGATCTGCTTATGTGTTAGTGGGAGTTCTTGAAACGTTTTAGGTGGAAATTTGATTTCGTCCATTCTTGTAGTTTCTGATTTTGTAGCGCCTTTGTCAGTCATTGGGAGTCTCGACACGGGTCTGCGACTATGTTCTTATCGGTCGATACACACTTTATGTCAAAGTCATACCCTGACAAGATGATTGCCAATCGCTGCATTCTTGCTGCAACCGTGCCTGGGATTCTCTTGCTGGGATAAAAAATCAATACCAGGGGTTTTTGGTCTGTCCACATCGTGAAGTGGCGTCCAAACAAATACTGGTGAAATATATTTACGCCTTTAACTAGACTCAGTGCTTCTTTGTCAATCTGAGAGTAGTTTCGCTCACCTTTGGAGAGCGTTCTTGACATGAAGGCAATCGGCCTACGTTGCTTGTTGGGTGGTGCGTGTTGAAGTACTGTACCAATGCCTAGGCTCAATGCGTCACAGTGCAGTTCCAGTTGAAGTGCAGGGTCATAGTGCACTAGCAGACTCTGCTTGGTGAGTTGCTTTTTCGCTTCGTTGCAGGCTCTCTGGCATGATCTCGACCATTCCCACCTTTTATCTTTCTGCAGCAGTTCATGTAGGATGTCGGCTGCGTTGCTGATGGAATTTCCGTAGTAGTTCAGCAGTCCCTGAAATGCTCAGAGTTCGTCGTCTTTGAGCCTCTTCACATGTAGAATCACATCCACCTTCTTGGGATTTGGGTGGGTCCCTTTTTGTCTATGACATGTCCTAGAACTCTATGGAGTCCTGCATGAAGCAGCATTTTTCTCTTCCCAAGAGAAGGCCACTTTCCTTGAGTTTTTGCTGTACGATGTCCAGGTTCCGCAGGGTGATGTTCATAGTTCTTGCCAGTTACCACGATGTCATCCTGAAATGCACCTGTGAACGGCAAATTCCCAACGACTTCTTCGATGACGCATTGGAAGATAGCTGACGCTGAGGTTATTCCAAATGGCGCTCCGTTCACTTGATAGAGCCCTTCGTGTGTGTTGATCACAGTGAGGTTTCTTGATTCTTCCACTAAGGGGATCTGGAAGTAGGAGTGTTTGCAATCTGACTTGGTGAACTTCTCTCCATGGGCAATCTTCACGAAGAAATCTTCAGTCTTCGGTAGTGGGTACCTTTTTGGCTTCATGGCGGGGTTGAGTGTAACCTTGTAATCCCCGCATATGCGCCGTTTGCCTACATCACTGAAACGATTAGAGTCTCTCACTCACTCCTCATCACAGGAGTGATTATAGGCTCTTTCTCAAGACGATCCAGCTCCTCCTCGATCTTTTGTCGGAGGGCTGACCTTGGTCTGAGAAAATTTGGTTGAGCATCATCATTCACGCAGAGTTTCACGGCGTAGTCCTTCAGTTCTTCCGGACCTTCAAAGGTGGAACTGTATCTCCGTAGCACTCTTGTGAGAATTAAGGTTTCTGCACGCACATTGTGTACTTCCTTCCAGTTCACTTGAAAATC